TGAAGATAACCCATGAATAAGTAGTATTCTAGACTGCGCAATCTCAGTTTTTCAGTCCTGAACACAATTGATATGTAGATGAGAGAAACACACAAGACTCGATACATAATATTGAGATTCTAGCTATCTGTGAGGGCCGGTCATCGATTGATATCACACACACAGTCACACGGTCAGCTGTCGCGCTCCAACCTGATTTCACTCCATTATCTCAGTCAGTTTCACAAAACAAGGGAATATCAAGCAAAGGAATTTCCCTGATTCGATTTAATTTAATCGAAAAAATATATTATTAAGATTCGCAGAATATAATTCTTTTTGGTAAGAGTTCAATCATTTCTTAAAACGAACGCAAACCGAATTATCTACAAATATATATCATCTAAATGTCCAACTGTGGCTTGTGTTTGGCAATACGGCTTGATATTCTAAGAATGTATCACGTGATTAAACTGAATTCCATACTGAGATAAAACTAGAGATTGATGTTCTGGTGAGATTGGGAAGAGTATTTTTATGGTTCGCTTGGTACCGAAGGGAGTAAAAAGGGTTACCTAATGAACCAGGTTTTCAATAATCTGAATTTCCATATTTGCTGTTTATTTTGAAGTGGGTAGTTAGTTTGCGTGAAGTTGTTCAAGTACAGATGGTTGTAGTATTGCTGTTTGTACTTCTTTACAGTATCAATCGTCAACCAGGTTTTGAACGATGATCATTCCAACAAGCTTTAACGTGAATTCGCCTAACAAGAATTATACAAGATATAACTTAATACACATGAGAATTGAAGAGCTAGTCTGTTYGGACARYATTACTTTTTYAATTTTGCTGGGAATGAGTTTCACAAGCTGATAAAATGTGTTGGCCTTGCTTAATATAAGCAAAARCTAAATAAAGTTMTCATATATRTGATAATATGATTTATCGTTATGGRGGTAAATCCTTCAAACTAAAGGGAAAATTGAACACAACCGTTTATCTGCAGTCATGTGACCAACACATCAATCAAAAGTGTTGCCGGCCAATTCCCTCGAGACATACAACAACAACCACAGCTATCTTCGTTTTGGGCCAGAATTTATCAAACCCATCAAACAAAGCCTATTAAAACAGGCTAGACTCACTGAATGAATGAAAATAAAGGATTTTTATAATGAGTTCGAGCTACTGGCGAATTGCCCAAAATATTCAGTTAAGCTAACGCCTAGCTTGACAACACACACACACTCACACCACTGTCCTAAAGGATTGTGATGGTAATTGAAGCTTTACAAACACAAGTATCGCAAATATTAGTGAAATATTTTTTTAAATGTGATCTTTCCCTGTGATCGCTTATTCCTAAGACTTGACCAAATCTGTCAAACCCTGACATAAACAAGCAAATTTCAGAGAGAACTATTTTGGCACCTGCTTAAACCTCGGAAGTTTGAATTAAACCACAAAACCACGATTTCTTTAAGCGCCCCTTGCCATGGACAATAATAGTTACTCAATAAGCCCAAGATTTCCAAAATGACACAGAAAATTTATTAAGAATTGGTTGGCAAATATACTCTAGTAAAGTAGAATTAATTCACTGCATGATGTATATATTTTCTAGATTTTTTTCCGCGTCCCATGTAGGGTACAAAATACCATCATATCTTGAAGTTATTCCTACATGCGAATTATAATTTTACTATCGCCATGAATATTTCAAAACGAAGCCATTGATTCAATTTGCTTTTCTGCTCAGACGTTGGTAGTTCACAATAGTAAAGAACTGTTACCGCCTTTTCAATTATCGCAGCACCTGAAAAATATTTTTAGATTCCAAACTTTGAAATCGTCTTTCACTTGTAGTTCATTGGTAGCGAGAGTATTCGCGGACCAACGGTCTTGTAATACTGTTGAACTAGCTTCAGTCAGTAGTCTACGTAATCTGCTGGCATTAGTGATATTTCTTTTGCAAGCAGTGTATTACATAATTAAAATATWTGTTCTTTTAAAAAGTTTCTATAAAATATTAACATTTGGCGCTAATTTTAACTGCGTATCCTCTTTCATATGGACAGTACGTAGGTTTAGATCGACGAATACAGGGAAGACCGTGTTTGAACTTTGACTACATCAATATATTTCAGTCAAACCTGCTCCGTCCATTTATATTACTCAAACACATTATACCATCATTCAACAGATATATTATTATCTTTGTCAAAAATAAGAATTCAAGTCTCAGAAACCAAGGCATTTTTACTACAAACTAAGTGCTTATGCCWAAAGAAATACGGTTCAGTATTTTCRMTAAGAAATGGAATAAAAACTGTGGCGTCTATTTTCCAGAAWCGATTGAACTTCTYAGTTTTCTTATTATTTTAGAGCAGGTGTTTTATGTTTTGTTGTCATAAAATTGACTGTAATATTATGAAGTTATTCCTTAGTACATAACGYTGACATTTTTATAAACGTCTTGGAATTTCCTCTTTAGTAAACGGAATAAACTGTTGCACATTGTCGAGTTTGCGTTGTTGGTAGGATAGATGGGGAAATGCCGAGATATAGTCAGTCCAAGAGAATTATTCAACGACTAAATCAAGAAGAAAGAAGACGACCTAGTATAAAGCTATAGGCTTAGACTCTTTCTTAATGTTGGGAAATTGAATTTCACTTTTTGCGTAATTTCTGATCGGCACATTTCTGATGATTGACTGTAATGTCGAACAGTCGTAGCACAAACTAAAAATGTTTCAAAATTTTCCCCAAACCTCAAACCTTTTGTATTATCCCCCTAAATATGGAACCCGATCTTAAAAGCTCAAACATTTTTCTAAATTATCTCTGCTTGATTATTCGTTTTTTGTTTGGAAAGATTTTATCTCGATACGAAGTTGTGTTGCGTAARTCGTCCTGCTTGAATTGGAATCTAAAATCTGCCATTTGTAGAATGCTAACATTACGAGTATGTAGTTACTAGTAACATAAAACTTAACTCCAACACCAGTAACCTTTGTTATCTAACCTATATTCATCCAAAATCGATGTCTTTTGGAAATTAAAAAATATATATAATATCACCAAACTATTATCCACGATTCTAGTTGATAGCACATGATGTACGACAGGACTGAGTGATTCGAGTCAATTACAACACTGTTGCTTCCCCGTCTCGAATGATTCATGTAAAACTATAGTTTTCTGGAGTAAGAGCTGTCAAATTTTAATAGACAARATAAATATATAATTTTCATTGACAGATTTTTAATACTAACTAGCCATATATGTGACACTTTGTGTAGAACTTTAGCACAGAGTTTAATTTTCCATTTGTTTTGAGCACTAGATTTAAAAGGCTTTATCATGCACTTTTCTACCTAGTCGTAAAGATTCTTCGCCGAACACTAATCCAGTCCACGTTCTACATATACACACATTCACTTTTTACTGACAAAATCTAAGTATATTCACAGTAAAGCATACGTCTAACATCTGCTTGAAAAAATGTGGAGACTGCAATTCATTTTTTTGAGAGATTCTAAAATACCGCCTACTATCCCCTATTCATTGAATGGCTCTACTCTTCGTGGGTCCAGGAGCTTCAAACCTCGGTTTCTATGGGATCTTAGTCAAGTGTTTTTTTCTCTGAATAGTGGTGTAAAGTAGCTTATACATGGCTACCTGTCTCCCTCGTTGGTTTTTTCTTGGGAAAACCTTTCCACAATCGAATAGGACTACAAAATTAGGCTAGATTTTAGACCATTTTCTTTAGATTTTTCATTTATGACTTGTTTTCGGTTGTGAACGTGTTTTCTTATTTTTTTTATTTTTTCATTTTTATAATGTTAACATCTGCTGCGAAGCAACGCTTACTTGTCGCGTATCCTCATTGARCTTGGGTGTAGTGAAAGGTAGGCCGCTCTATCAAAACACCCTAGTTAGAAAACACACCGGAAATATCTCAGTTTTACTAGTCAAGGGTTTAAAGTAGTTAGATTCAAAAAATAAACTTATAATTAGCGTTTACAAGCGAACGGTCTGAGTTCCGTTCAAAACAYGTGTGACATCTAGCAAGCAACACCAAGTTCTATAGATGCGGTGCTTGGACAAATACCTTCACTTACAACGTTCTAGTTCAAAATGCTGCTTCATGACTTTACATGATGGCAGAAAACTTAGCGAACAAACACTAGTCATAAATATCATTATATTGTGATTTGAGCAAATTTAGGTTATCGAATGAAGAGACATATTTATGGAAAAGCAAACTATACGACTCGTTTGTATTCACTTTCTGTCTAAATAACTTCATCGTATTTAATTATTATCAACTATGTTTATTTTTTGCCTCGTCCGTCTTTCTTCCTTTCCGATGATTTACATCATAAGTACGGAGGCAAGAGCTTCTTTATTGAAARCGAAGTAAGACAGTCACAACCATGTTATGAGAAATGAATGTTAGCGGGTGGTTTGTTCACACCTGCGAAGCAAGAGATGATTACTACCCTGTTCGTTGAACGTCTTCTACAAGGACAGGAAATAAGAATAGAAAACAGAAAACTTCGAATACATGAATCACAGTTGGAACAAGTGTGCTAGGCGTCGAAAAGTCTATTTTTTCCTTGCTTTTTTGAAAGAAATTCCCCTTCGAACTTACGAAACTTACAAAATATCACGTATGTTTACAAGTCGTACACTTTCTATATAAATTCCTGTTTGTGTTTGCGTTTTTTATGACTYTTTCGTCGGAATGTTTTTACACGAGAAATAACTGTTTATTTTAGCGTTAAAATTAGGCAGCATTTTTCAATAAATGGAAAAATGAATTGAGTGAGTGAGTGAGAGAGAGACAAACAAAAGCGCGTGCACCAGTACTTGAAAACCATGGTCAGCCAGGCGGTAAAATGTATACAACAAGAATCTTGTACTTGTGGACCGACCACCATGAAGCTGGTGGATCTATCTATCCCTTTAAAAAAGCCAAGTCTATGCATCTACGAAACAAATACCAAGCAGAAGACTAAATGTTCTCTTAGCTTTATTAAAACTTAGAGGCCTGTTTAGGCATAATTCATTACAAACTTTTCAAAAGAGACAAAAATCCTTTACTACAATTAACAACGGGCCAAATGAATTCAGGCCCGGGTGATGAATTTCAATTTGAGTTTTGAAAAAAACAAAAAACAATGAACGAAAAGTAGGCCGAAATTTGGTGCTTTATAATTAAAGTTATATGTATACATATGTATTTTACACCAATAGACGCAGACTCATAAAACATTCCTTAGAGATACAAAATTCCAAAATATATATTTAGTATTATTATCGGCTCAATTCAGTGCCGTCAATTCGTTGAAACTCCATACTATGAATTCCCAATGATCTCTAGCAAGATATTCGTGCGCTTCCTTCGCTAGTAGTGAATTGTCGTACACTGACGAGCCAAACGGCMTATACTTGCTTCGTATTTCCCAATATTAGTTGAACGATATTCATTATCGTCCACTGTTAATCGGGAGAATAATTTTCTTTTTTTTTTTCTGCGCCATCAATTTAAAACTTCAATATTGTTTAAAATAACAGATCTCATTGTAAAAGACCTGGTCAAATTTACATATAGCTATGTTATAATTCTAACTCATTGACACACACCGAATTGGATTTTCTTTATAGAATGGCAGGTGTGGGACCGCAGTAGTTTTTTCTAAGTTAGTTTCTTTGATAACCTTGAGTTCCCCGATAACAAGAAAAACAAGATTATAAGAGTCTCTTATCGATGTAGAACAGAAAAACTTTTCTTTTCTCTTCAAGATGAAACGGAAATGATTGATGTTACGGAATTCCCCAGCACTCTTGTTGAAGCTAATGTCCATTCCATTCCATGAACAATGTTTATGCGCCTCAAGCTTGCTATTCAAAACAATTTCAATACAAGTAATAAACCAGCCTTGTGTCGAGTTGTATGGCTCTCACAGGTTGAATTCGTTCACTCTTTTTCAACTTATTTTTATCTCACTAAAACGTTCTGGAACCAAGTTCAAGTCTTGGTTTATAAATTCAAAATGCAAATTGACAACTCCATGCCAATAATTCCCGTTTTTGTCCAGGAGAGTAAGTATATAATTAAAATTTTGAGTCAAATGTGACTTGTATAGCCGTTACTGTCTTTCAATCTTGTTCATATCCGAAGTAATATTCTTTCCAAAGTTCTTGAATTCTCGGGCTTATCAATGGACAGAAAACTTCATTCGCTTTTTCTTTTGTCGTTGGTTACAAAACCAAACTCTAACTACGTTTTTTGATAGGTCTAGTTTCTCTGCTATCGAAGAAATCTTGTCACTCGAAGGGCGCGGGTTCATAGCAAAGTAAGCTTCCAGAGAGCGTTTTTCTGCTGCTCCGATCGAGGTACGCTTTCTTTTCTTGTCGGAATTCGGTAGAAACGCACTGTTCATCTGTTTGGTTTTGTAAGCTTTTTCCGCTTCCTCTAGCCAGGCTGTCAGAACGGGCTTTAAGGCCATCATGTTATTATGACTTAGAGTAAGAGACTCGAATCTGCAGATTGTTGACTGGCTCAGAGAGCCAACTCCAGGTATTTTCAAGTGTGCAAGAGCTGTGCCTACATCGGCTTGTGTCACCCCGAGCTTAATTCTTCTCTGCTTGAATCGTTCGGCAAACCATTCCAACTCTCTGGGGTTCATGTCATCATTAGCGGGAACGAGAGCAGAGTGAAAATGTCCTGCAGAAAGGCTGATGGGCGATGGCGTTTCGAAGGATTTATCAAAAGAATCACTGACAGAACACGAGGGTTGCAGTGAAGCCGATATCTGGTCCAAAATATCATGTGCATCGTATGTGTCCGGTGCGTGAGAAGTGTGTAGCCCAGGAATGGAGTAACTTTGCTTCGATTGTTTAGACAAGTACTTCGGCGAAGCATCGGGCTGCGGTGCTGACAGTAAATGCGAATCATCAAAAGCATCGAAAACACTAGGTGGAATCTAAACAAGTAGAAAAAAGAAGCATATTTAGTCAGAAGCATGTTTGCAAACGGAAATGAAAATCTATGAGTATTTATTGATTTTATTTGTAACACGCACCAGGTTTGTAGATCTTGAAGGGAACGACAACTATGAGAAGAAAAAAAGAAGAAAAAGATAAATAAATACCATGCGAAAACACTATCTAAGATACTTTTCTTATTCCATTAAGATAGCGGGCGAATTCTTCAAGAAACTCTTGACATACTCGAGGGAAAAACGGCAAAAATTAAATAAAGGTAAATAATAAAGAAAGAATATATATATACCGAGCCGTTGGATCCACGAATTGAAGGTATCCAACTTGGTTCCCTGAACTGTCCTCCACCAGAATTGCTGATATAAGAATTGGAAAGAGATGTACCATTGGAGATGGATATCCGCGAGAGAGGAGGGCTAAGATTCTTGTTGAGCAAGCTGTCGCGATTCATGTTGGAGCTGACTCAGTTCGTACTGAAGACTACTACCATGACGTGAAGACGTCTTTAAATGCAGTCAAAGTGCTCGTAAAGAAAGGGACAATCATTATCATTGTGTTAACAACATTTGCACTTGACGTGCACCTGTTCCCAACCGGCTGCGCATGCGCAATTTAAAAAATTCATTCTACACATGCGCAGAACGACAGCTGGACCTGTCCGCTTTTACATGACAACGAGGCAAGGCCCGCACTTGCGACAAGGTTTTGATGGGTAAAGGACAAACTAAGTCATACGACAAATATCTGAGAAAGAGAATCAAAGAGATAACAACGACAACGACTGCCGTTAGAGTTGTCCATTTTCTACTTCATAGTTCGTTACTTCCTCTTCTTCTTCTTCTTTTTTTTTTTTTTTTTTTTTTTTTTTTTTTTTTTTTTTTTTTTTTTTTTTTTTCGTGTGAGCGATCCATGTGTTACTAAATTTGCGCCAGTAGCCAAACTCTAGTCAAGCGTAAACGAGTCTTGTAAAGTGTAACATTTTGTCGACCAGCAAATCGGAACAATAAATGGCTTTATTAGGATTCATTAACGCACTTACACTCCTCATCGTCAAGTTCCTAAACCAATAGGAAAAAGCTGCTTTCTTTAATTCCAATTCTGGCATAATTTCGTTATTACATTCCTGACTACTCGTACGTGTACTTGCAGCGTTTTCTCGGCGCTGCCTGATTGGTCTATTGATAGAAAGCTTTGAGAGTTAAGAGAATTAGCCTGATGAATGAGGTAGTGCTGGTCTTAATGAGCTCGGTATGGTTATAGATAATGACAACGATTATCGCATACTATTGGATGACAACTAATATGCCAAAATAAACTTTGCAAAACTAATGAAGGCAAAATATCACGCAAAGCGAACCAAAAACCACCTTGGAATTGACAAGACCAAGTCGTCGTTTTTATTGTAAGCACATTTCAACCGTGCTCTAGTGGTCTGGATTTAGATTTCGATGGGGAATTCTCATTTTGCCGAGATAGCGTTGTTTTTGTGTTTTTATGCTAAGTTCGCACGAGGCGGCGTATCTTTATGCCAAATAGCGAGGCGATGTAAAGCGATGAGCGGTGTGACAGCTTACACTTTACGACCCACCCGCTGGCTCACTATTCCAGCCCATGCGAATAAGACTAAAAACACTCTAATTAGACAAAAACAGAATGTACCCGAAAAGATCGAAATGCTGTCTGTTGTCAAGATACGATATATTTCCGTTAGCCTTGAGGGAGACTGCCCTAAAATAATCCACATCAGATTCACATCCGAAATATCATAGTAATATAGTGCTTGGCTCTCATTCACTGTTACAGACTGGTTGACGATGCGGCCTGAGATCCTCTCGTCTATGAAAAAAATTCTTTCATAATCAGAATCATTATAATGCTAAGGTAATAAGAAAATGTGTCTTATTTCCAACAGGCTTTTCAAAAAGAGCTCCAATAAATTAATTTCAAGAGGAGATTGATTTTATGCGCGCTCCATTGACAAGTACCGGTCCAACATGCCACGTTTTACGCTTCGTCAAACACAGAGACGAAGATTATCTAAAAGATCCAATTTTTTTCTTTTCAATAACGATTTGAGATAATTCCGATAATTTTTCATTCCACAAACTTACTTTTACCGAACACGGAGTGAATTGGAACCTTTTTAAACTGTAAAGCAGATTGATGTGTTTCATATAAAATGGGATTTTGATTAAATATAGGATTTATATAACAGAATGAAGCACTTTTCGTGCAAAGCAATGAGAAATCTTGTTCCAGAAGAAGCAGTACTAAATGGTTATGTGTTAAGCAGATGCTAGAGCAGCTGCCGTTTGTTTGGCCGACATTAGATTTTATTTCGACCGATAGAAGATTTCCCCATTATGGGTTGTTTCGATCAGATTCCCAAGAGAAAAAATCACGTATTTTTTCTAATTAAAAAGGACTTTGAGATTTGGAGTTTATTCGCCGTTCAGCAGCAAACCTTGTTCGTGTATGTGTCTTAGTATTTCGCGAGGTTATGATAATTATTCTCTACAACCGGTCATATCTTAAGGCAGAATTAAAAAACCAAACAGAGTATAAAAAGAATAAAATACAAACAGTAAAATCAAACTAACCTAAAGCCACAGGAACCGTGTGATAAAACTCATGAACCTATGTGGTGACGCCAGGAAAATACCCGCGAGTTATCGCTGCCAAAAACCAAAAAAGATCCGCTCAAAACTTCCCATTCTTGTTTGTACAAGCGTAATTTCAAGTTACGATCTAAGAAAAGTAGTAAACCCGAATCCCAGTTTGAATGGATGGTTGTCGTTTTAATATGTAAAATGTTGATCAAGTATTCCATTAAAAATAGACGGCCAAGACTCTTGTGTACATGTGCCCGTACATAACTGAGCAGTTTGGGTGCTTCGTGATATTCATGTATGCATGCCTTTACTGTCGCTGTTAGCAAAACCAACACAATCTAAAGATAAGGCGCACAAAGGCCGGCTGAATCGCTACAAAACGATCTTCCGTACGGGCAGAGAAAACATTGTCTATTGATAGTCGCATTCTGAGCGCGCGGCTTCCACATCGGCCATTACGTTTCTCTACTCCACAAGTTACGGACTCTATTTGGAGAAAACGAAATCTAATTATTAAAGAAAAAGGATGTTTGAGGACGATTATAAGAGGTATGGTCAAATATCTTAATATATTATAGTGAAGATTTAGACACGTACATTGAAGACTGATTTTGAATCGAGTTTATGGATGGAAAATTCGTGACACTGTTTCGAACGGCGTGTCCGCTTTCAGTTAAAACTTTAATCGATAAGAGGCCGATAAGGATTAAGAAATAACATTTAATGAAAAATAGTATTTAACTATCTAGGTGTCTTGTCAAATTACGACTTTTCGCGGCTTTCCTTGCAAAAAAAAATCGGCTCCGAGTGAGTTCAATAAGTTTTCAAATATGTAAAATCCTCCAAGGATTTTTTAATATGGGTGTTCGTATACCGATAAGATTATATTTTTCTGGCCTTAGGCAAGGGAGGTTTGTATAACAATACGTCTCAGTCAACTCGTTTCCGGAGGACCTATTGACTTTCTAGGAATTAGACCAAACAATTAAAACCTTTCGATCAATACTCTTTATTTCCTTAAGGAATCTGATAGAGAAATAAACCTGTCATGTACTGGAAACTCGAAGTTGTTAAAATCTAAGATTTGGATGGAGTTGGCGGCGATGTTAGTCAATTTTGTCAGGTGATTGACAAGCAAACGCGGGTTGTTCTATGGTTGGGTAAGGCTTGGCAGGTGCCGCAATTATACGCAGGCTGGTGTGTGCAAGTCTCCAAGTAAATTAGTATGGAAATTCAAAGTTTTGTTTGTGATCAAAAGTGTAGTGGAACATTGACTTCATAATGAGAAGAAATAATGACAAAAAAGAGAGAATCTAGCATTGGACTTAACTAGTGAATTTATTGACAATCTGTAGTAAAGTAAAGGAATTCCCAGTTACATTTGTCGAAATTTCAGTGAGACATTTGCTCGTTAAAGGTTTCTCTCTCACAAACACAATAATTTGTAATTCCCAAGTCATCTTCTGCTTAGCAAGCAGAGCACATTTCAATTATCCAAAGTTAATATCGATCAGCAAGCAGCATTATTTTTCTGCTCTTTTCCCTTAGTTAATATTCTAAGATAAGACGAAAATAATTTATTATTGACTATGATTTTGACAGACATTGGTTTACAGAACGTTTCTTCCGTGGCTTTGATGAAGAAAGTAGTTGTTTATCGCTTCATATTCATTCACAGACCACTGAACAAAATGGCGACAAATGTTTATAGATTGAAACCTAACAAGTGCTGAACCATTTAAAATCGTTTAGATCGCCTTTCAAATTGATCAAGTAAAAGAATATTAAATTTGGTCAAAATACCAAAATGCGGAAAAGCCGAACGTATCAGTCTTCTATTATTTATGTATTTATAGGTAAATTTAGATTGAATTGGATGTTACGGAGAGTTTTTGTTATCGATATATAACGTCATGTAATCTGGAGAATGGGTAAGCCCACAATTATAAGTCCAACTGAAAAAAGGAAAGTAAAAATAGAAACAAGAAGATAAAAATAAAACAGTTCTGAGATGGAATGAGGTTAGGAATGAAAACTCTTCTCGAACATCATCCAATCAAAGTTGAAAAAACATGGAGAGATGTGATAGGAATTCTAATATGGCAGTTATTGAAAAACGAATGCGTTTTGAATTTCTTTTCGTTGTTCTTTGACGATGAGGGAGATTTTGGCGGTAACCCGCGGGACTCTCGACTTAAAGTGTTCAAACCGTACCGCAATGTTGGCTCATCTTTATAAGGACGACTAGCTATACACACGGCGGTTTGTTGTTGTCGTAAACCAATACACAAACTAGTGCGAGGTTCTCTTCATTTCTATTGTAGTCTTTAGAATAATCATGTCGTGAAGAAGGAATATCCCCCCAGCAATACTTAATTGGTCTTACTACTGGAAAAGAAAATATCAATTACTAAGCTACGCGTGGATATCTTGTCACTGTTTTCAATATGTACACAAGCGTCCGTAATTGTTTGTCTGCTTGGTCAAGCATTTTTGAAAGCCAGTAAAAAACTGTCGTATCTACAGAACATGATGATGAACGGCTTAAAAATAAATGACATAAATGAGTCTTGTGATGGTGAAGAGTACCCCATGTCTGTCTGTAATGATAATAAAAAATGAATAAACACAGACTCCTAGGGGCGAAAATACGTTTTTAGATGGATTAGAATTTCATATTTCAAAGACTGAAATTTAAAATACTGAAATATAGCTCAACTCGAGTTCAGAGACAGTTTAAACTCTAGATATTTAAGATGTATGGGGATAAAACAAAGCACTGATAACAAGGAACAAATTAACCAACAGACCTATGAACACAATCGTTATTTTATCTTCCCTTTTTTCATTATTATTTCTCATTTCATTTCATTTTAATCAAAGTTGAAATTAGATGTAAGACTACTTGACCAACTAACAGTAGTCATGAAGTATAAAAAAACGATGCAAATAAGTAATCAAGTCTATTCCACTCGTTTATACCAGCAAATGAACCACTATGATAATCCTAGACGATACGACTGTATATATATATATACAAGTCTTTCCCTACGAATCATAACTATGGCATTTTATTCTACAGTGATCAACCACTTCATATGAGTAAGCTAACATCAATGATATAATGAATACGTCAGTGGAGGATGATGGATGACCATTACTAGATCCATGAGTGAATTTTCTTGTTATCACTCACTGAAGGTTTCTTTGCCTGGCGGGTCCTTCAATTTCCTCATGGGTTTTCAGTCCTACGTGATTAATTACGACACGTTCAGGAGGGCACCACAGTCTAGTTTTCGTAATAATTACTTATCAGTCACTCAAAATATATATACTTCTTTAATTGAATGTTTGCAGTCCATATTCTATGACTACCGTTAGATTATTTTAATGAGTTGGATTATATTATATACTATTCAAACAAAAAGTAGACCAACCCTAAAAAAAAATTGGAAATGGAATCTTAAATTTAAAAAAAATCCTAATTCTACGGCGAGCCAGCCAAATCTCACACATCAAACGAGTTTTTCAGGCGTTCTTTTTCAGAAATGCTGGAAAACACGTCTTCGAAGCTATCCATTCTCATTTACTAAAAAACATAAATAATTTCATGATCATATTTCAAAATAGTTGTGCGTAAAAACGGTCAAGAAAAAATTGATGGTGCATGTACCTGAAAACTACCTGTGCGAGACCGTCCGAGTTTATTGAAATAGTAAATTAAAATATTAAAACGAAAACAAAGGGGGAAAAATATTTCGCTTCTAATATTAATTTGTTGTCGAGAAAAGTTATTCCAACTAAAATATTAAAAAAATAACAGAAACAAGGAAAATATTAAAGTTTAAGAGCCATACATTTTAATGATACTTCCGTGTTCTAACATCAATATTCATAGTATTTTCTTTTTTTTTTTTTTTTTTTTTTTTTTTTTWAAAAAATTTTTTTTTTTTTTTTTTTTTTTTTTTTTTTTTTTTGGAAAAAATGTAGAGTTTAATTCCTCGATTCATGGGTCCATTAAACAATTGAGATAAATGACCTTAGACGTTGACGACCCAGCGTATATATCATTTGAGGAAAGGCAAATGTTTGATCGGCAATAATACGAGAAACACTATTTGAATTCATTATATCAAAAGGAAAATTCATTAAAACTGTAGTTTGTTAATAAAGATTTCCTAATGAGCCAAGTTAAAAGACATTTTCTAATGACTCAACAATAGGGCTTAAATTTTCTTTTTTTTGTTTGAGTTGGTTATTTTGGGAGATGTACGTGTTAGTTTTCACATGGATTGACGAGGCACCAACTAACCACGTGGTACAGTTCTATAAACCGCCTATCTACCCGCAAAGCAGGTAGCACCATTTCTGTTCTCGTCAGCTGGACTTCTTATTCAACAACCTTTAAATTCCAAAAGAAATACCCGATATTTAATTCTCCTAAGTAAGCCGGTGCTAAACACTAAAAATTCTTACTGACAAAGCTACCAAATTATATTGTCACGTGACCTGAGACTATTCTTATCTGATTCTCTGGTTTCGCTCGGAAAATCTTCAAACTTCACTCATTTTTCTAATTACTACTTGTAATATTCTCATTAAAAGCTCTTTATCTAAATTCATTTTGTTTCGCACTAATCAGGAATCTATTTCAAAAGCTTAGGCGATGAGTAAATGGATTATAAATTAAAGAAAAATTACAATTTAGGAAGTTGGTTAATTTGTTCGCAGGTAAAAAGAATTAATGAGTTAAGTAAATGACATCAGTTATCGATAATAATCATCGTAAACCATGGATTCTCTAAGCGTAATCCCAGCAAGGCATGTGGTGTACTAAAAGTAAGCGTAACCGAAAAAGGCAAACGAATTTGACCGCAGTTTTTATTCACATTTTGTTCAAACCAAAGCCGTCCGGACTAGATAATGAGGCTTTGAGGTTACGCCTGCCAGATATGGCCGGAATATTACCACCCATTCATAACGTTTGCGCAAGAGTCTTCTCTAACCCATCAAAAACATTATTACAATTTTCTTAGATCAACGGTTTATGATTTTAGATAGACAATTTTAATGACACCACAGGTAGGGATGAGTGAAAAAGAATGAATGGATTGGGTTGAGTAATGACTGTCGTTCTTTTATTAACTATGTTTGTGGGTTTTTGTGTTAGTGACTGTGGTTTGGATGGAAGCGAAATGGGTCGACAGATTTGATAATCCGCCCTAAAATCCATCACTCTTTTCTTCACACTGTGATATAACGACCTACTTCTAGCCATGAGGTTAAGATTTTTATCCTCTCCTTATGTACTCAGTTTCCAACGAAACATTTTAGATTTTGCTGTTAATCACATTCGAGGGTTTTTCTCAGGGTTCTCCAATTTTCCTCCCTTCGTCAGGTAAATCCTAACAAGTCAAATTATTTCAATTCGATTTGTGAATTAGCCGTTGCCCTGGCTTAAAAAACAGCCCAGAATCGTTTCAGGATTCTAGAAGATTTTAAGTTATTTTTATTCATATGAAATAAAGTCATTCACACTACGTTACGTGAATCTGTACCATTTGTTTTGTTTGAATTGAACGGCACGTCCTCGTGCGTGCGAATCTAAATGTACCATGCATTCTTACTCATTTTTATTTGAACCGACGCCAAATTCTCGTCCTCACGTCTTTGAAAACAGCCTCAATTTCTTCGAGCCATTGCTCATTTGCCATCCCTATATATATGTAGGAATATGCGAGACCTGTACTGAGTACTGCATGAGGACATGGTTTGAAACATTATGGGAGTGTCAGATGCGTATGTATATATGTATATTAATAACGAGAGATAACTCACGTGACTTCATTTAGTGGTTCATTTTCCAAACTCAATTCGTTCAATTCTATTTAGTTTAAATTGAACCCAGCAGGTAGACACAAAACAACGAATATTCAAATAAAGTGCAGGCAGTGGGTACGTGATAGAATGAAGCTGATCAACAGTTATAGTTTACATTTTGAAAAGCTCAGTTTTTATCAGTTTTTCACCTTTTACTTCATCCCCCCACCCACCCCTACCCAACTAATATTTTATCTTTCTCTTGATGTTTATTCTTTTCTCATTTCAGGTCTTACAGAATTACCAATTTAGTGCAATTTGATAGAGGATGTTGCACCACAGAGCTAGACCTAATTCTTGGCATAAAAACCATGCTTATTAATCATGATATTATTCATGAATTAGCTCGCAGGTAGATATTTGAGTTTTAGAAGCTTCATGTGACTCCTTTTCAAACCAAAAGAAAGGAAGGAAGAGGCAACTGAAATTCAGGATATCCCTGCCCACTTATTTGATAGCTTTGCTGTCTGTCTGTCTGTCTGTCTGTCTGTCTGTCGGTCGGTCTGTCGGTTGGTCTGTCTGAGTGAAGGAACAAAGATTTCTTTCTATGATCCACATTACAGATGTTTAAATAAAACTACAAAGAAAATCAAACTAAGTCAAACTATTCATTCATTTGCATGCTAAATAAACTTTTAAAACGACTGTTTCTCTTATCTCAATTACTGTATTAAAAAGCAAGCTATAGATAACCTACTTGCCATGCTGTGGTCGTGGATTAGTAAACACGAAAAAATAAAACGAACCCAACAGAAGCTCGAAGAACCAAGGATCGCAATATACGAGGAATTTCGCTGTAACTAATGGTGATATTCTGAAGGATGACCGCTGACTGAATAATTATAAGAGATGATCGGTTTGTGTGTAAGATTATTACAAAAGTTTACCCTAATTTTATATTGACGTAAGACCTTGTGATAAAAGAAATAGCTTTCTACCTCTTGAGCTTTCAAAATATGGACGACAATGATGCAAAATATAGTCAAGTTTGATCAAAGAGCATGACAAAACAATAATATTGATTGACAGTGGCGAGTTAAGTCATTTAGAAATCCCGAGAAATTCATTTTGATATAAGTAATCAAAACAACTAACCTCAACTCTAGACTCATCTTTACCTTGTCTGGTTCTTTGGGTCATTTCCATGTTAAATAGTCAATGGAAGAGCTTTATTAAGCCCCGTAAACCTTCCTTCTTTCTGCCCAATCTGTAGAAAAATGCGCGCGTAAATGTTGGTCACGTCACACGTGATGTCACGCAATGTTCAGTGGACAAAGTTAAGTCACAGGCATGCAAGAGAGAGAGGGCGGGGGGTTAGCCTGCTTCAAATAAACAAACAAACTATGATAATAAAAGCTGTAGTCCAACGAAAAAAGACGTGTACGCAAGGCAGTAAAGTATGTACGCATTCTCTTTTTCTTCAAGGGTGTGTATGGGGGGGGGGGGGTGGTCGTGTTAACAAAATTTAGTTAGCAGAGAAATTTTTGCTTTCAATTTTCTCTCCCAACAATTGCTAACAATGGAGACTGCTAGTAGGGAATTGAAGGGAACGAAAAGATCTTTGTACGGCCAGCCTTTCTTATTACAAATGAATGATAGAAGGAGGTTTTGCAGCCTCTAATACACCGTTCTCATAATGGCTGACAAGTGCACGAAAACGAGGTCAACCAGTTATTAGTTTACAATGAAGAAATAAAAGCGCATGAAATGCGTTTATAGAAGGAAAGTTAAGAAAAGTATAGAAATTGACTTTTTGTTTTGACCTGAATTCGCGCTATCCACCTTTATTTTGAATGACAGCCTTGTTCAGCCTCGCAAGATGACTGGATGGCCTTATTTTGGTGCGCTTGTCAGCCATTATGAGAACGGTTTATGGCATGATTGTAAATACATCAAACAATTATAATAGATCTCAGAATGTTGCATTCAGGTGTCTTCAGGCCTGGGTCACTGAATGTGGCCACTCCATCAGCGGGAGACTGGCAGTCATCGTTGAAGAAATAGACAACGCGCACGCGGGCTGTGTGCAGTTATAAAGCACTGGTTGGCTACTGGCACTGGTGTTAGGAGAAGCACGACGTGTAGCGGAAGGTATAGCGAAGGTATAGTCAGGAACCTTTTCAGAATCTCATGTAAATTTATACAACAACCAGGTGAGTTTTATGTAACCGGAAATGATAGCAGTCAAAAGTGACGAGCAGCTGTCAGGCTACTTGAAGTGGAAGATAAGTGGCCATCCAGATACTCTTTTCTAGCTGTTAAATTGGTCTTTTGTCAAAGGTTACTGTGGTCATGATAACAAAACAGTCTTTTATGATCAGTCACTTTATTATTTACAAATCGACATCCCGTAAGCAACTCCTCAGTTGATGTTGGGTAGAAACTTGCCTGGAAGTGCCGATTGCAATCAATGATTGATTATGACAGATCAAACGCGTTCTCTTGTTTCATAAGCCCTATTTAGTTGATTGTAACCACGCCCACCGATGGACCTACGATGATTGAAGGTAAACTTTGCACTCATCATATAAAACAATTTATAGATCGTGCATATTTTATTCCTTCTTTAATAACATGGTACTCGTTTGCACAGCAGAAGTTTGATCATCTCTTTATAACAGCTGGGCGTCCCGTTACTTAAGTGGTCAGAGGGCTACATTTAGTGCAACATTTGTTGATAAGTCATATTGTAGTAGTGTGTTGCGAGTATTTCATCAAGCCATTGATCAGTTGCCTTATTTCATTTTCTTTTGGTATTTTCTCTCTCACATCTCAGAAAAAAGAGCTATTTTTCTAGTTCAATGAAGCGCCAAGAGGTTAACAAAGTTAACACAATCTTATCATTCCCTACTCTCCTTTCTCTTCTCTAATTGGATAATGACTCTGAAATTAAATGCGATAACGTGGATTAATGATAAATAAATGTCTGTTAGTTTCCGCTGATTTGAAGTCCGATGTCTAGTCACTAAGCTTGTTGTTCAAACGCCAGCCAGCCTGTGGTGGCTTTTATGAAGCCAATAGATCTGCCTATCACAAGTGTGTAAGTACTACGGGTTACGTTGTTTTGATAATCGCACTCCACACGAAAAATGCACCGAAGTGAGAGCACTAGTACGAGTGAAGCAACGGATACGACCACTGAATGCGAGACTCCTGACGAAGATTCAACAGAACGACCCGCAAAAAAACGCACAACTGCTAACCGCAAGGAAAGAAAACGTACTCAGACTATGAATTCAGCATTCGAGGATCTAAGACAGCACATACCGAATGTCCCTGTCGATACCAAGTTGTCTAAGATAAAGACATTACGACTTGCTATCAGCTATATACGATATCTTAACGAAGTTCTAGAAGAAACTAAAGATGGGAAACCATGTACTCGGAAGAACTTCGTTGTAGAAATGGCTTTACAAAGCGACATGAAAGAGAAAAGAAGAAGAGAAGAGTGTGTAAGTATAAAAATGGATTAGTTAAATGCCAGTGGATGTATCCCATACTGAGCCATCGGGTAACAATGACGATCTTTAGCCCAGGACACTTCAAACATGAGTATAAACTGATACCATTCAGTTAGTGAAACGACATGCCAATCCACAAGCTGGATATTTAGGTGAAAAACAATCTAGCAATCTATTAAATCAATACTTTTATAGTATATTCTGTTCTAATTGGATACTTGTTCAATATATTATTATACTAACCAAGCCAGAGATGTTTTAATGTAGTCAATCGCAGTATCACTAAAGACTTTTAACTTCAAGTGATTCAGAATCTTTCAGTTTATTGACTGTAATATCAATAACTGTTGGTTTTATTTTTATCAAACAGAGTGCGGATTTGTCCCCAAGAAAACGTGGACGGACAGGATGGCCTCAGCAAGTTTGGGCAATGGAGCTGAGACAGTAGTAATTAAAGCCGTGGGGTCTCTCAATAAACAGAATGGCTCGATTCTTCATAGTAATCATGCACAACTTTGTCTTCAAAAGAATGAGTCCAGTTGCCAGCATATGAGAATACAGTAATGTTGAATACATGACTAAATAAGACCTGTACAATGTTGGCCAACACATCTAAATCACTTATACTGCATGTCTATCACGAGCTTATCTCCACGATCACTGATTGATACATATGAAGGTGCAGAGGGATTAGAATACTTTACTTTTCGTGTACAACAAGTGAATATCGACCAAGGAAATGACAAAACAAAAGAAATAAGTTGAAATCCACACATGGTTTGGTGGATTAGCCTCACCCAGTGTATATACCGACATATTTAACAGAATTGTAAATACACAACCACTTCACTTGATCAAGTTCACTCAGTTGTTAAAGTGACTGCACCGCCTCTGTATGTGACGATATTTCAATTTGTAAATCCTCAATCATATTTGGTATATATTATATATACATCAGTCCATATTAGACATGTATAGCAATCAAACAAGATGCACATATATGATGTTGAAAAGAACGTCTTTGACTATGGCTCCTGACTGAGGTATTTATATCTACATATGGATTGCACGTAGTGCATCAACTCATTTGTCCATTTGTACAGGACTATCAGACAATCAATGTGCCCAAAGTTGCCAGTTAGGAAAAAATGGAATTTCGATTATATCCAAAATGTGGCTGACCTTTTATCTATAAAAGAACCATCTTCGTTTTCAAGCTGTGGATACCTTAACAATAGTAATACCTTTTTTAGTTGACTTGAGTCCTCTGTCGGTCGTTGCTTGTCATGGTTGGATTTATTACAACTTCCGAGAACATGGAATGAAAAATTAGAGTATATAAAAAGTGAACTTTACTTTCTACTTAGATGTAGTTACAAGAAGTGATAACAATGATTGATTAGAGGGCAGGCAACACCACACAAGACTGAAAAATTAGAGTATATAAAAAGTGAATTTTACTTTCTACATAGATGTAGTTACAAGAAGTGATAACAATGATTGATCAGAGGGCAGGCAACACCACACAAGACTGAAAAATTAGAGTATATAAGAAGTGAATTTTACTTTCTACATAGATGTAGTTACAAGAAGTGATAACAATGATTGGTTAGAGGGCAGGCAACACCACACAAGACTGGGGTCGGCAATATAATTCTATCAATGCAACTCCGTACCTAATTGATTGTACAAACTGATAATGTACACAAACCTAATTGCAAATACAAGCAGAATGGTTTGAATTACGATTCCTGGAAAAATCAATACCATATCTTCTTCTTTGCCAAAACCTTCGATTCCAAACCAGTGCCTTTTTCCAGTTATACGTTTATTCGTTACTTAGGACAAGCATTGTTTACCAAGATGAGTGTGGCTCTTGTGAGCGTAAATGTGTTTTTATTGTTAAACTTGTACATTATTTACTTAGTCGTAAATATGAGCATGTCATGAACTGAATGAGTCTATTGAAAGAACATGCTTCCATCTGATGCCATGTACTCTTAATACCTAAGAAACCTGCAAGTATTGTAGCTTAGTAATAACCTAAAACAACATCTCCAAAGACAATCTAAAGAAAAGATCTATGTATTAGAGAATGTTTTATTGCCACATACAGTGGATTGATCCACCAGGCTATTTCACAGTCCACAACTTGGACTTTTTTTATGGTATTTATGTTAATAAAGAGTTGCAGTGGAGTTGTACACTTTGCCCACTACTGTGCCACACTAAACGCGTATGCGGTACTCAGCAGTTACCAAACAAATCACATAAATTTTCATGAAAACTTATTGAGAAATTTTTTTTTAAATGTTAGCAATTGTAGCAAAGTGTAGTAAATTCGAACATCACCGAAGACAATGAGCAATGCAAAAACCTTTTCGCTTAAAATTGCAAATATTTGAGAACCATAAACTTGTGAATACTGAATGCTGCATTCTGCATTACGGCTCGAGTTGAAAAGTTTACAGTTAATGAGTGTAGCGGAACCCAATTCCAGGTTAAATGTGGCTTTTAGATTTTCGCTGAAGGGGGTAAGCTTCTTGCTTCATAAGAAGGATTACGATTTTTCTGTTCTTAAAACAGTGATTGAAAGGGGCTCAAAGAGTAGCCACTCTATACATACCGCCAACAACTGCAGGCTGTAGAAATACGTTATTTAGCCATGACAAAACCACACCCTCTTCATATTAACTGTTCAGTAGCTATCCTTTTATGCTTATAATGAAGTGAATACCAGTTATTTGGTAAAATAACCAACAAATAATAAGCTGATAGAAAAAAGCGTTGCATTCATTTACGAAAAACAATTTTTTTTCCATCTTCTGAGTAAAGTAAAAAAATGATACATTTCGAGCCGATATTGTTTACAGAATAATGTTCCGTGACCGACAAATACCGGCTCAAGGTATCTTGAGGTATCTTAAGGTATCTCTTGATAAAACTGCCATTAATACCTCATCGACTCAGCGAATACTCCAAGTACTTCATTTCCTTCTCATGTGTTCAAAGATCAAGAGATTTCGGAACACTACATGCTCGGCACTTATTCATGGCATCAAATGCAATGCAAATATATAACTAGAAAATAAGATATAACTGAAAAAAAACACGTTTTTATTATACGGTGATGAGGTTTCCTATGAAAGATGCAATCAAAATCTCCTCGCTCTGCTTGTATTCTTAGACAGACAATGATGTCCATCTATCCGTGCGCATGCACTAAATATCCATCAACGCATCCATTCATCCCATCCATCCATCCATCCATCCATCCATCCATTCATCCCATCCATCCATCCATCCATCCATCCATCCATCCATAGTCATTAATTCATATTTTTTTGATCCGCATTCCTTTACCTTTCAATTGCTAGTCGAGTCGTGTAATCTTTCATAAACAACAGGGCTAAGGACTAAAACTCGTACTTATTTTACTCGAAAAATAGAAGATATCTTCTCAGAAGAGGCTTACGGCTTGTGCTTACGGCTTGTGCTGGTTGTTAGACGTATATCTTATAGAGTATGCACCATACTTGACTTTAAGTAGCTAAACTCTGTCTCAATAAGAAAGTACCCTGATTTAACCATATCTACAAAAGGACCGCCCTTCAAAACTCTTCCAAAAAGCAAAATACCATTCTAAAGAAGGGGTTTAGGATTTGGTGGAGAAGATAAGTAAGTAGTGATGATTTTTGTCTGACATTAGACACACATTCAGCTACCACGCAGCCCCTGCTTTATACAAAAGATAAGACTGTAGGTTGATCAATGTTATCTGTTCTTATCGATGTGATGATTCTTATTGGGTAGGAAGTGCTACCGCCATGGTAGAAGGGTGAATTTAAGTTTAACTCTTCGTAAGATATCGCTAGTGCCATGATCTTTGGTTATGACCGTATCTTAGAAAGCTGAAACGGCTTAGACCTCCAAGAGTTTTTTGATCCATAGAGTTGGTACACCAAAATCAAGTCATGTACGAAATCAAGTCATGTCGGGTAATGAAAGATACGAATAGAAGCTGAGAACAGAGTGGAAACGAAAAATATTTTCACCTGTTGCCAAAAAGAGTATCAAAGGGAATAATTGCTCTAGCAATTTGCAGGCGGTACGTGGCCAAGTTATATATTATAACTGATTAAACGAAAGTGAGAGCTTATTATCAGTTAAGACCACTTGAAGATAGGAGATCAGACTTACTTTCATTAAAGATCACGATACGAGAACATTTCCCCGTTTGTCTTCTGGCTTAAAATAGCGATCACGCGAGACTTTCTTTGGTGATATTCTCTGTAAATAAAAGTTAAATAAGATTAATGCTGGAGTCCCGCGCAAACCCCTCTTAGCAAGTTATTTATTCATTTCATCTTTTTTTTTTTTTTTTTTTTTTTTTCTTTTTTCATGCCGTGGGAGCGATACGAAATACAAAGTATATACAATTATTCAATGGCGTGAGCCACATACACACATCGATGAATAGACCAAAGGTAACAAATGAAAGCGAGCGCAAGAGGCGAGAAGTGAAAGTGGCGGGATGGATACAACCTGCAAGTGTTTGGAGGATTGGCTGGGACGTAGGCTTGTTTGTTTTCACCCCAGCCCGATGGGAATTCCTGGCTACGCCCTTAAAGCCCATAAGTACATAAATTTCTAGTCTCTATCTAAAATGATAACAGTTTTATGCTGTTACCTATAATTATCCAGTAATAATCTACTTGCGACAGGTGCAGTTTAAGCTGAAACTGGCTGAGACAATCAGCTGCGAAGATTATCCGCGTTCTGCTGCTGACCACTGCGTGGTATGAAATGAAGTCCCTAGAAGATAAAAGCCAATCAGTTTGAATATACTGTGATATAAGAATCAGCCTTGACTATCTGTGTGGTTTATCTGGGCAAACCCTTACATCCCTTTATATTGCAGACCTATGTTATCTATGGATGTGCAAGAGTAGGTAGGCGCAGAAGATCATTCAGATAATAAACCACTTTCATATATTAATATATGTTGTATAATCTTGTTGATCGATAAGATTCATCTTCTTGAAGCCGAATGGATCTGAGACGGCTGAACATTCAATATTTATCCATTTGCGAGAGTATGTTATACGCGGCAAACAAGTATTTGGAACTATGCAGATAACAGTGGTAATAGATGCTAAGACGAAAATATATCGAATAATATATGAAGAATACTGATAATGAAAATGAAAAAAAAAAGAGAGAGAAAATGATACTGCTGCGATGCTACAAAAATATTCGAACCAAGTTAAGAAAGGTTACATCATTGGAAGATAAATCATACAAAATGAACTGTAGAGAATCCAAAAGAAGAAGAGAAAAAGAAACTTAGAAAAGAAAAGAAAAGAAAAAAGAAGAAAATTGATAGAATTAATGAAAGAAAGGCAGCAATGAATAAATGAATCGAATGAACCGCGGAATGGATGAATAGGTGGATGAAAAAAAAAAAAAAAAGGAAAAAAGGAAAAAAAGGAAAAAGGAAAGAATGAAACAATACGATAGCTTGATACGACAAACGACGATAAAAGGAAACAAAAAAGGAAAATCGACGCATTTTCTATTCGCAAAAAGGAAAGTAAAAGTAACATTTCATGTTGATCAGCTTTCCTGGTCCATGCAAGTTGTGTTGTAAGAAATCGAAGCAATGAAAAAATCCACGGAAACTATATACGTCCCAAAAATGGATTAAAACAGCGGTTGTTTTTTTAATTATTGAAGAAGATAACTAGATATTAATTGGATGGTTTATTGGTACTTTAGCCATCGTTTTTAAGCCTCATTAAGTCTGTGATTTCTGTCAGTGATTTTGAAGCATTTCTCGAGGTGTTGTCATCTGTGCTGCCTTCGAACCACAAAAAGGTCAAAAGTTAAACATTAAGAGTGAGCTATTTCAAGATATCTGTCTGAAAAGGTGTACAGCGACAAACGTCAACCTTCGCAGCACCACACGAAACAGTAATTAGTTATTTAATGGTTTTTTTAACGTGCTTTAAGATGTTATACAAAATATACTGGCCCCAGTGAAAGTCTTGGAACGTCGACTTGTCTTTCGTAGCAGTTAATTTCAAGTCCAACCGCTTGGTTCGTAGTTTTAAAGCGGCAGTCCTTTTTTATTCCGGATGTATATTGAGAGGGGCAGATTCAGTTTCACATTCTAGAAGAGCTTCAGGCAAGTGTTGGCCCCTTTTATTGGAGCATGGATTGTCAGTAGTGATCGAAAATATCAATGAAAGATGAGTGTGTTAGATTAGGGCTCACTTTCGGGATGAGGAGTACGATAAGGAAAATCACGAAAAGTTTCTAGAGAACGTCAAGGAAATAATGTTGAGTTAGAAAAATAGGACCGGTTTAAAAGTCATGGCGTATCATGATGAGTGTGTGTGTGTGTGTGTGGAGGGGCTTACTAACTTAGACGGCAACACCCGAAAAAAGTGTGTGTGGCCGCAGCGAGGGGTGGGAGCAGGAGAAGCACAACATGCTTTCTAGCTTTCTTTCTATCCTTCTTTCCTTCTTTCCTTCCTTCCTTCCATCCTTCCATTCATTCATCCATCCATCCATCCATCCTTCCTTCCTTCCTTCCTTCCTTTCTTTCTTTCTTTCTTTCTTTCTTTTGTAAAGTACTAGGAATCCCCCTCCCCCTCCTCCCTCCCCTCTTCCCCCTCCCCCCTCGCCGGCTTCGTCATCAAAGAAACACTTAGAGAAATCGAAACTACACTGAGCATTCTATGCAGATCAACTGGCATACGCAGGCCGACAAACGAATTCTGTTAAAACAAAACGAATTATTGAAAACAAACAAATAAATGAACCACTGAGTGAAAACTCTTTAAATTACAAAAAACTGTCGGAAAAGAAAAGAAATGAGAAGAAATAAGAATGAAAGCTACAATAGAAATGTGATGCTAGTTCACTGACAGCTGCTTAAGCCATTATTTCTTCAAGAGTACCTAGAGTTAAGATGCCATGAGGATTTCCGAACACAGATGTGGATAAAAGTCGACGAAAGTCCTTCTGTTACGTTTTATATTGTATGTATGGTTGCTCGCGTGGGTCGCGATAATAGCTCGGCTTCGCCCAACAGTTTAACCCTCAATTCTAAACAAACCTGACAAATGGTCCCCTGGATTTGAATCAGAAGACGCCTATGAAAGAAACCGCGAATGTACACAATCCATGTCACTGAAATATCTACAAGACTGTATGGTCAGTATTAGATAACACTGCGTGAAGCTTATTGAATATTTCCGAGACAACTAACAGACCAAACCAATTAAAAAGAAATCTTCTTATCAACTATACGACCGGTTATTGCGTTGTATTTATTGCTAGAGCTAAAATGCTTGGTAAAACATAAACAAACAGCGTGTGTTAATATTTACAGCGGTGATCTTTGATCCAGGGTAAGTAACCACTAATAAGCGTACCTGGGAGTCATATTAAAATGATGGGAAATCTTTCATTTGTTTAAGAAATAAGAGCAATAAAAAAATAAATTAGTCGATTCTAGGACAAAATGTTTGTTATGCTATCGCACAAACTACAGCACAATTAGTATCATCGTACAGGAGGGGAAGGAAGCAAACGTATGCGCTACTTCTAACTTATTTGTTTATTTTAAACTACAAAATGTGGGAGAAATTTTGCTTCGTTCCATGTCGCGTCGGGCAACAGAAAACCTTYTTATATTGATAAAACTAGAAGCGCCATCATTTTTAAAAATATAATGACATTTTGTATTATATATCTATACCATTAATACCATTATTATGGTTTAGTTTGAAAAGGGTTACAGAACTGAAAACTAGTAGCATCTTCAATATAATTCTGTGCTAACATTCTTCTGGCCGACAGATTTGGAAAACTTCAGTCCCAAATGAACTACTGTTGGCCGATAAACTGTAAGCTGGTCGTTAGGATTTTGCCTAGTCAAGAATCGACATCCGATTTGGTTATCAAAATGCTTAAATTTAGCCTACGGGATTTGCAGCAGTATCTCAGTGCCTCATAGAGGTCTCGCATGCTGCGCAATTACCGGTGAGAATATAAAATGAAAACACGGCTCAAAACACGGCGAGTTCGACTACGGTTGGTTTAATATCTCTAAGATAGCGTGCACCAACATTTTTAGTCCGAGACATCAATGATAATTAATCTAACCAAAATGGTCAAAGGGTCGCTGAGGTCGAATGGAGTGCGCATCAGACCGTCACCAGATGAATGAGCACTTGAATCTGACGACTACTAGAAAACCCAACACATAGCTAGAATTCTCAGGTGCGTAGTACTCTAATACCCAAGCAATTTGAAAGCTGTTCTTATCAAGAAAATACCAGTACCTTAAAGTTATCAAGATCTTGGAATATTTTATTCGATACTCTCAAAGCATTGGTTGCGTGTTTTGGTCCTGAATCAGAAAGTATAAGTCAATAAAAAGAGTCCCTGCGGTTACGTCCTCAGGCAACGTAACTTTGCAGGGATTTCTCTGGGTAATTCTCATAGCCTCAGGCCGTGATAACCAGGTGCGGTTCAATAGGACTTTGGAATGCACCTTGTTGAAATCTAGAATAGCAGCGATGCCTTTCCAGCGTTGAATGTCCTTTTCAGTCTTGAAGTCAGTTTATCTTGGGTGAGAGAAGATGCTGATATTGGGTGCTAACTGCGACAAAGCGAGGTTAGTTATTCGTATCTTTTGAAGTACTAGGCCGGTCTGTACTAGCACTGAACCGACATATATACATACATAATAAAAAGATCCATTTTATCAGGGCGCGAAAACAGGGTAGATCAGCTACATAGATCTCTCCTCAGCTTAACTTGTTCCTTATCTCGTACATGTCAGTTGTCATTTATTGCCTTGTCTTCTTGCAGATAAACATGACTGTCATAATGAATTTCCCCTGGTTTGCGTATAGATGTAGTCCTTGTGATAACATTTCCACATTTCCCACGGGTTCTGTGGGTTGTGTAATAGGAGAGGGATAGATAGAACTTATCGAATAGACTACTTGCAGCATAGAATACATGCAATCACTTCCTTATATGCCACTTTTGATAAGCGTCCGCCCACTTGATGTCCTTTGATTGACAGATTAAAACCCAGTTAAATGTCACCTTCAAATTGAGCACGTGTCAAGCTAAGGTCACGTTTGATAAGACAGCGGAAATTGATGAAGACCTTATGTCTCCTGAGGCGCGTGAAATATTTTAACAGCGTTGGTTGGTGAACTGTGATCCATATATACAGTTCCTCTCCACGCATTGCACCATGGGAAAACAATTGAGTGTCGTTCTGCGTATCGCGCGGCTAACAAACGAGCAGTGTCTGGCGACTGAGCAAAACTAGTCCCGGCGAGTATCTGTAAAGCCTAACGTTTGCAGTCGACAGTTTGACAGGCTCTTAGCAGAATAATTCATAATGTCACATCAAGAAAACCAGAGCCCAAGTGAAAGCGTAGAAGACAAGAAACAACAAGTTCTATTCGTAAATGATTCTCCAGGAGAAACGGATTTCATTCAAGCTAACAATAGAAAGCGTAAAGCTAAAACCACCAAACCAGCTACGAGCAAGAAAGAGAGGAGACGTACGCAAAATATCAACGCTGCATTTGCTGAACTGAGGAAGCATATCCCCAACGTTCCATCCGACACTAAGTTATCTAAGATCAAAACATTGAAACTTGCTATGAGCTATATTCATCACTTAGAGTTTCAACTAGAAGGGGAGGAGCAAGGCGAACGAGATAATGGGCTCCCAGTGATTGTAGAGGTACGAAGCGAAGCATCCCTTCCAACTACACCAACAGAGGATGTTCAGTTTGATCCCGCCAGAAGTCCTGATTGTTTGAGTTCTTACGAAGAGGTGAGTAGCATTCTACATAACCAAACATGTAAACAGTTAAGAAAGCTTTTAGTTGATTAGCGTTTGCATAACTGCTGCATGAGTGGACAGGATATCCTGCCCAGAGATTCTCACTCATAAAAACCAAGTGACGGCTGTGATTCTTTGATAACCAAAGCCAAGGTGAACGTAGATTTTATCGACCATAGTATTAAGGTTTAATAAACAGTATAGCATACTACAGTGATATGGAACTGGTAACCCCCTTCCTGGCCGAGTACGGTACTCAATCCATCCAAGCTAATGTGTTTTTAATTCACAACATATGTTTGGTTGTTTTTATTGTCACAAGATCCAAACTTTTTGTTTTCATATTAAATCATCAAACAATCAAATGGCTTATTTGTATTCAACATGACACCTTGTCTTTATACTCCTTAGTTAAATGTTTGCTAGTCTTCAGTTTTCTAATATACTACTGTTTTGTGGGTTGTTTCAGTCCGATGATGCCCAGAGGTACTCGCGTCGTAGTTCCCGTACGGGATGGCCCCAACATGTATGGGCCTTAGAACTCGTGCACGGTAAAAAGATCCCGACAGAGAGAAAAGCTCTTCAACAAGTAGCAGGATGATCAGAAAGCTTCTCAAGGGAATGATACCGAGTTTATCAATTGTAAAGAGGAAGAGTGTTGGAGTTTGAGTCCTGCAAACAGTCACCCTCAATATTCCAGCCTGTCATGGATTATTTGGACACTGATAAATATAACTGGATTTGATGCTCCATACTCTTAACTCAAGGAGCTATCACTGACTTTAAGCAGACATTGAACACAGATTTATATCACTCTTTAGTGCCTATCATAATCTTTTACGAGTTCTTTGTTCGATTAACTTTGCTTTATTTAAAGAGCTACAACGCTATCAACACAGGAGGGATACTTTGGTTCCATTTTAGCGCTTTTTAATTTATTATTTTTATCAAAATGAACGTCTTTTTACAAATTCATAGTGCATTTAGTAAACACCAGCATTCGTAGCTGTTTTACCTCTCTAGTATCAGGCCGAGATAAGGCTGACAACGTGTATAGCCTCGGATCTCTTCAAGAAACTTCAACGAGTTGTAAATAGTAGCGAGTAGTGTATATAATGAATTTCTTTTTAATCATTTCAAAATTGTTTGATTCAACGGAATTCTTTACGGATACCAGCTTCAAACATTCAGTATTAGGAGCATCATGACTTGATTAAACTTGATTTGAATCAAAAACTAAAAACTTTTTAATCCTCTCAATTATCAATGTCACTGAAGAATAGTGAGAATATGTTCATGGAAGATTTGGAAAGAATTTATAAATAATATACAATTTAATCCCAACTTTTAGAAACCACAAATATGAGTACCATGTTCAAATGTGGTTTCGAAAACTAAATATAACATACTTTCCATCCTTTGTGAGCAAATAATGTTGAAGGAATTTCTATAAAAGAAAGGAAAACGAAGCTCATCATTTTTACACTGTTCATTACAGTCCATCGCTTATCATATTCACCCAGAGTAATTCTGCCCAGAGTAACTCTGAATCCAATTCTGATGAGCTACCAGTTCAATTACTATCAGTATTCGGACGCTATTAGCACCGGCATTATTTATGCATGTTATAAATAAATCCTGTTTCATTTGTAGCTTTTAGCCATGAGATCCTCGATATAACTTGCTTGGAATCATTGTTCTTAAAAGCGCTTTTGAAATCGTAGGGTAAAGAGTATTTGTTAACAAGAGGTAAATAAATAATACGGGTTTCAATTTTTTTCTACGTCAACCATGATTCATCGCTGATATGTTATATATATATATATTCTTTTTGAACTTGTGAAATACGGAAATTTGACTGGCTATACGTATTTCGAAACATTCATCAACAATTTCTTACACCTAATCAGTCCATTGAGTAAGTGCTGGGAACGCATGTCCATCAGTCTTAGTTGTAGAGATGAGGGCGTTCCCTTTTCCGGCCATCAAACATGTTTTCTTTTATTTGAAAATATGGTTTTAATCGTATCTAGCAGCTGGATGTTCTTTCGGAAACCAACCGCCAATGATAACTAATAAACTGGGCAAAAATATTAACACAAATTGAGTCCTTTTCAATAAGGTTGTTGAAAATTGTAATAAATTTGTTTGACAGGATGTTGTAGTTGATGAAGCATGACTGCTTGGCAAGATACAAAACATTCATTCACAAACAGCTGCAGTTATTATATAAAGTGACGGATACTTGTAGCTTCGACAGTCCATAGCATGAATATATTTCGAACGAATTTCAGGAAATACTATAATCAGTAATTTACTCAAAGAACACACTTTGGGAAGCGCAGGTATGCTTATATCAGACTTTACCCGCCGTAATATTCAATATTGTGTTCAAAGTGTGTTCATTGACTCCCTTCACTGTGGTATATTTCAAAGTAAGCCAGTGATAAATTCTGAATTTGAACAAGCATAGAAAATCAATATTTGAAAGTCACTTGCAAATTCTGCAAATATAAAATTCATATAAGCTAGAAATACAAAGTTGTTTTACATCTCATGAGAACTGTAAACTGTAACTACATTAATGATGGAAACCATCGAAAATACAAAGGAAGTTCCCCTTTTTGTTTAAAACTACAAATAAAAGACAAGAAAAGTCTGAAGTTATTAGTAGTCTTATATATGTGAGTTATAGGGACTACGAATTTTTATTTTTTCCAATTAAGAAAACAAGCTTGAAACAAGCACTGAATATTGGAGTCTGCCTTTCGACCACATACACCGACAGCTTTCACACGAAATAAAAAGTGCTGCAATGACTCTAAATGAAAATAGTTTTTATTACTGCTTAGGAAGCACTAATACTAATCAATCACTACTGTCTTAAGATATTCCCCAGGGACGGAAGCCTATGTTCGACTCTGGGGCTATCAGTGTTGCTTCTATGGTATTTTTTTAATAGTATAGTGAATATAAAAAAGGTTATTTTGGCTTGTTAGATAAGTTTTTGGGCTTTCTATAAATAAATCAAGAAGACTTTGTGGCTAGATTTATCGCACTGACAGTTAATGTCAGTACAGTGGATATTATAACATCATCAAAGGTCTACATTATTGCCATTCTTTGGCCGTACAGGATCTTGCCGGTCTAATGTCAGCTGCAGCCATTTGGAAAATATATCATTTGCTCAGCATTTTAACTACACTAGTTATACTGATGTTTGAAATCTGGAAAGAGAATTAAAAAAAAGACTCGAGTTCTTTTACAAAATTATTTTAAGGTGGCTGCCTACTTTTGGAAAAAAAGATTAAACTTTTTTTTAAAAACTTCGATTTTCCGAATTGAAATTTAATGCTGATTCCAAATCTGGAAAGATTGGGTGTCCCGAGCTTGTTTTCGAGATAATCAGCATTTAATGGAAGCCTACGCGCGAGCAGTATGGAGCAAAAATTGCGCCACCAGAAGTGATTAGAAAAAATTAAGATTCAAAAGATAATAGTTATTTGCAGACTATATGATTGCAAGAATGACGGCTAGTCAATCATTCTACAATAATACGTGGATATTTTTGACGAAAAGACAAAGCGATACATTGATTTGTCATATTTTGTAGTTTCGGTGCTCTTAAAAAAATCTCATAAAGTCGAACAAAAATCCCTACAAAAATCTATTTTTTCATGTGTTAGAATATTTAACTTTTTCTAAGATGTTGATATGACCTAGATTTTTAGGAGTTTATTCAAATAAGCTATTAGAAAATAGAAAGTCCCGTGCAAAATTTGAGGGTTTTACTCTGTCGAATTTCAAAACGCGTATGGTTCTTCAATAAAATCTAGTAGATTTTCAGCGGTTTTTGAGCGCGCGCACATCGGCTAAAATTGAAAGTTCAAAAGTAGGCAGCCACCTTAAGAGAGAGAGGTTAACAGCAAATGAAATCAAAAATAGCAACAACGACAGCAAAAACACAAATTTACCAAAAGACAGTGAGACTTTTTTTCTTCTTTCCTTCTGACCTCAAAATAGTTTTATAAGTGATCATAAATATATGCTTCAATCCAATCATTCACCGTGGTTGGCTATGGCGTTCATACAAAGCAACATGTGAGTTGAGTGTCGTATGTTGTAAATATAGAATGTAGTGGTAGTGCGTGTGGAGGGAACCTCACGGAAGAGCCCCGCATGGGGAGTGATGGTTGTAAAATATAAGTTTGTTATAAGTTATAAGTTTACATCCGTCCCTTTCCGTCTTCCCCATCCCCCATCCATAAATGTGTGACTTGGTACTTAGGGCAAAACATTAAGATTGGGTTTCCTGTGGTAACGTGACTCGTACTGGCTTTATCTTAACTCAAATATTGAAAATTACAAAAACCACTCATGGCTACTTGAATAACGCACGAAGACATCTTTAAAAAACTTTACTAGTGTTTATAAATTAGTGATCCTTATACTACACAACCTGCATTATGTGTGCATGCGTTCAATGCGCCAGTCCGCTATCGTTTTAATACAGTCCCATAGTACTAGTTTCAGGTTTTTTTCCACGCAGAAAGAATGTACACATTTATGTACGAATAACTTCTAAAGTACACATGTACATTGTTTAGTGTTTTGACATTTGAAGTGCATACTTTTGGCAAGAACTCAAACGGTTTGTGCAAACAAAAGTCAATCAAATATTGTCGATAAACAGATAGATAATAGTCTTGGAATACTTGTCAACACTTGCTACTTTTATCAAAATAATGATTGGTAAATAAATGCTAATGGCGTCGTGGGAACTTTTTACAAATATGGCTAACTGAATATTTCATTGAGAGGAGATTGCAAATGAATGATAGTGAATACCGGTTGCCAAAAAAGTCAGTAGAATGAAATGACAAAGACATTGCCGCCATGTTAGTTGATGGAACAAAAGGACCCTTGACAACCGTTTGTAAAATCCGACCAAAATGGCGGCTGTGAAAACCAAAACCGCTATAGTCATGGTGCGCGCAAGTATGAGTGTGTGCCGGTGATCACGTGCTTTTCCTATCTTTCCACCAGCAATTCTATCACCAGTGATTCTATAGTGAAATCCGAACTATGTGGACTGAAGTAAAAATTCAAATTTGAACAAATTAGAACCGTCTTTAGTCCAAATAAGTTATTCAGTTCAATAAGCTCTGTTATGACACTGTCATTTAGTTTGGTGGGATCTATTGAGGACATTCTCCTTTGCAAACTAAAAGTTAGTTCAAAAGTCAGAAGGACCGACGCTACAACGGTGATACTATTCTAAAAAGGAGAAAAGAACGGAAAAAAGGTCAAGCTCACGCACTACAACACTACTGAATCTTTCACCAGAATTGCTGCAATAAAGTTGAGGGATAGAGTCAAGAAAGGGGTTATTTCCAAACCTTCACTCTTTCTTTAAGGATTTTTGTGATTCCAGCGAACACAAATTTATTAAGTAAAAAATTATTTTCCTTATTATTCTTGGACCGCTTGTCAAAACCAAAATTTAATTTCTGAAATAACAATTAACGCTGCATAAATTACGAAGGTCCTGACAAATGACTCACTAGCAGTCAAAGAGTTACTGTCAACCAGACACACCAACCGAGATATGATGAGTTAATTCCACAAAAGTCCACTAAAAGACCAAGAAAAAGATACAATAGATTAAAGTTTTGATGGCTATTCTTACACATGCTCTTGAAACTTGAAACTGTTTCACTGTTCAACACTGTCCTCGTGGTCAATAGTGATAAATACCCTGGATGTACAAGTCAGTCCGACGGGCGCCCACTGCCTGTCCATAGGGCGATTAAACTACAACAACAACTTGGTAAATGGCTTGTTTAAGAGCCTCTTTTGTTTTGAAAATGTCCTCGTTTAGGATTCCTGCACAACTATCAAAAGGCAAACACTGTAGGTTAATTAATTTTACAAAACAAAACCAAAAATATTAAGTCCTACGTTGTCTTGCGCAAGAAAACTGTTGGTGTAAGGCTGTAGATGATTACTGAAGGGATGGATGCTGCCATAGATATTATCTTTATCTCTTATTAGCTTATTTCTTTCGTTTAATTGCTCCTTACATAATAATTATGATTAATCATGAGCCTATTTTCTCGCGTTAATTCTATGTACTTAAGCCGTGGGAAAGTTGACCGAAAATGGTTCCCTGGCCAAGGGGATCAAAATAAACAGATCTGTTGACAACATAAAGAGTTTAACAATAGTAAATAACAATTACAAACAGGAAGTCATCCTGTGTCAAAAATCTTACTTCACTATTATGAAATAATTGTTTTGTTAGCACATCTATATTACACAAATAGTCATGACTCACTCACCGGACCGAACTGTCTTTCAACTTACTTATTACTCGCTATCACCACAATCCTAGAGACTGAACCGATACATACAAAGACCAATTCAACTCTCTTATTAAAGTTGAACTCGACGTCTATGAGTTAACCTATTCGAAGTTCAAGTGGTTCTGGAGCACAATTCAATGCACAAACCTCGATACCCCAGCCTAGCTTATATGTTTTCCTCGCAGAAAAAGAAACCCTACACCCTTCAATATCTTTCCGCATTGTTAGGACCACATTCATTTGCATTTCAATCATATTTGCATCTTTGCTTCTAAAACCACAAAAAACGGCCCCTTCTCGGACAAAGAAGCATCTATGGAAGTATTCCATGATGCTTGTTAATACGAGGACCAAATAACTAAAAGGTTCATCTCGCGTTGTGGAATCTTTGAAAATGAAATAATGATTTCTCAAAGCTCTTGGCGATGATGTCTGCTTGAACGTGCTCACGAAAAGTTCAAAAGCAAGCGCCTCTTAGAAAGTAACATTTGTGGAGCTTTCAGTAAAAAAGTGATGGAAGTTGACTTATCTATTTACTCGTTTTGGCGCCTTAAGTCTGAAACTTTGAAATGTAAGTATGGACAGGATCGTTTAAAAAAAAACTCGTAAATATCTTTGGATGATAGTCAGTACCGAAACACATGGACAGTTGTTGAAGGTCGATGCATTAACTCTCATCATCATCGATGAAGTTTTCTAATTCGACCAAAAGAAACAAATTGTTGTTTTGTTTATAAGGGTTGGTATTAAGCATGTGAATTATGGCACTTAAAGGTTTCTGGCAAAGTGGTTACAGTAAGAATGAACTCAACACTGTCTGTACACGTCAGTAGTTGATATTACAGATATTAAAGGCAAGGGTGATAAGAAAAGTCATGGCCTGGCGTCCTTAGACTCATCATCTCTTGTCGACGGTTTCCCAGGAAGCAGATACGTATTACATGACTAGAAAACTGCCATGACCCAGGAATCTCGGCGTCGAGCGTGAAGCAACAGTTCCGCGCACTGCTGTCCCGTATAAACATAAGGCGTGATAATTGATTTGCGATCCATTTAATAAGTGTTAATTGATAGTGGAAGTTACACTGATAAATAACCTACCGGGATGATTTAAACAGCCTGGATTTTTTCACTTTTAAAAACACTATATTTAAGCAGGTTAAGTTTGAAATCCCTCAAGCGATTTTTCCATTTCACTTTTAGGATTGCGATTTTGGATTTTGCTTGTCATAAAACCCACGAGAGGCGGGGTTTCGTCACGTGATCGACAGATGACAATATTTGCCTTTCAGCTGTTTGTTTCCTTGTCCAATCACAGAGCAGAGAGTTTCTGGCGACGACACGACGCTCAGTTAAAAGGTCTCCTTAATTGATTGTTTGCCATGGCTAGAATTCACTTATTACTTGACCGTTTTGCCTTTTACATGCTGGTCAGTTTGTCAGTGAGCGGGCTGGCTGAAACATTACTCCATTGCTCAGCTGTTTGTTACCCGGTCGTGTGGTAACGCTCCACTACTCACAACTACTTACTAGCTCTGGGTTAGATAACCTCGAGTACCAATGTCTTCAGTCACAGCAAAGAGAACTCTATTGAGTACAAAGGCCAAGGCTTTTTCTATCGCCTCACTGGTCGAACAAGGTCAGTAAAGTATTATGAGCTATACTTCCTCTTTAACCTTGCAACCCTCAGATGGTCAATATTAATAATACCAAAAAGTGAAAATACTCTAAGATATGGGCTGATCTGAGTGAACAATGTAATATCTAGTCAAGGTGTATCAAGATGTAGCACCTACATGAGCGGGGTAGATTTGTGCAATTATAGGTCACTAAAGGAAATGCTACTCGTATATCCGCAGGGAACGAAGCTGAGTGCGGACAAGTTGATGACAACATGGTTAAGGAACCCTCTGAAGAAGGCGCCCCGTGCACTTCGTCGAGCAAGAAGCGGAAATTACTCAACTACGAAGCCGTAGAAGAGAAAAGAAAGCCCCAGGCCATCCTAGAGGGAAGAGAGCTATGGGAATGCTTCTATCGCTTGGGCACAGAAATGATTATAACCAAGAGCGGAAGGTATGTGTACCTATCAAGCTATTTAACGGTGTTCTTGGCCGCCAAAGCCACAGCTTAAGTGAGGTCATCTAGAGCCAGCTAGTGGTAATTATGCTTAAATACAAAAGGTGACTGACCTTTGGATAAAATCGTAAGGGGAAAAAAGTGGTTGGAAATGATTTTTTCGTCTGATCAAAAGACCTTTTCCATTTTTCTGTAGAATCGTTTTGTTTACACAAACTTTTGTAGTCATGATGAGGAATGTTTTTATAGGAGATGTCCCGTCGTATCAGTCCTTCATAGTATACTTCATTGTCTTAAATCTGATATTTAGCTTCAAAAGGCTTTTCGCTAAATTTTATTTTATTATCGTGAACCAGTGTCGACAATTCCAAAACACTACAAGTTGCGATCTCTATCTATCTCAACCTGAGCGCTTTTTGTCTGAAGTTTGGGTTTAGATACAAGTGTTGGGTTAGGGACTATCCAGGGAGTATTTGTCGTTTCTGACCACGTTGCGGTTTCTAATCAAGGATCTTATGAAAATCAGGAAACTGTTAGAAAAATAGTTCAAATAAACTAAATAGCTTGAAAAATCTCAGAGTTCGAGCGCTGCGAATAGCTTATATATCGTGGGACAAGGCTTTGTTAACGGATTTGGGAAAGATATGAGAATAAAATGGCTTAAGTCATTCTCACAATTGTTTGAAATTGTATAGGCCTGTGGTTTTTTGGTGATGAAGGCTTTTTCGAAAGCATTGACACATGAGCTATTCATAGTTGAAAACCAGTGAAAACACAAGATCTGCTTCTAGAGTTTCAACTACAGATCCACGTTCTTTCATATTCTTTGAAAACCAAAAGCGCGCCGCACTCTCTTTCATCGCGCTCTCGTGCTTTTCGAACCCTTCTCTTGTTCCAACAAAAACAACTCGTAGGTGATGTTGATAAACAGCGTTGAATCGCTACCTCTAAACGACGCAGTAATTGAACTTTTCAACTCCTTTCTGGCGCGTGCCGAGTTACTAATTTAAATCCTAAAATAGCTGATTATTGAAGGCGAAAGTCTCCCGCCAAGCAAAAGAATAGAACCTGTTTTCAATGCAAAAGAAAAAGAATTTGATTTCTCTGAGATCTTGTTTAACCTTCACAAGAAAATCCTCGCAGCTTGTTTGACAAAAGATCCACTGGTCAAAATTGTTTTTCGCGAACCATTTTCGGCCCATCAAGAAGCGGTGATAAAGGAATAACAGATTTTTCCTATTCATTTCTTAACTTTGCTTTTGATCTAATCAGGGACGAGACAAAGCCAAGACCCAACAAATGTCCTTGTTACCGATTGACCGGCTCTGGTTTCTCAGGGCCTTGTATGTAGTTGTTCTTTTTTTTACAATGCCATGTTTGAAATGCTTCACCGTCTGGAGTTTTTGTTTTGACATCAAGAGCAGACGATGTGTTCGTATCGAAGGAACAATACACAAACTATCTTCAGATTCTTCAGGAAAATCCAATAGTCAATAAGAAAAGAATGGACTAAATTGTCGTCATTTAACCTTCTTTTTCTCGAATAAAGAAACTTAAACGTAAAGTGGAAACAAACGTTTCCATTCAGAACAATAACTCGCCCCAAAACCTTTTCTATGTTTTTTCTTTTATTGTCTTTCTTATCTGTATTTTCAAAGTTATTTTCTGGTCAAACCTATTGGCCGTAAGTTTGCAATACTTGGATTCCGCAGAGATGCTACTTAGACTCTCAGACTCTAATGTTTTGGGCTATTTAACACGTTATGCTCGAAGACAACGACTGATTGGCCAAAAAGTGATGAAGAAATCGAATATCCTAGCATAGTAAAGAAAGAAAACCTTGACAAGGGATAATCCCACAGAGTTCTATTCGATGATTTGGACACTAGAAAAGAGTTTAAAAAGAATTGCTAGCTCACTTTTCGTTTGCGGAGATGTGGTATAGTTAGGGGAAACAACAGATCCTCTAACAAAAAAGAAATTTGAAACCGTGTAAAACGGCCTCTGCCCCGCTTCGAAAAAGGCCTGTCAGTTTAGAAACACATTACCTGCTTAAAACGAGAATTTTCAATTATCTTATAAAAATTTGCTGCTAAATTAAACATTTGAATGTAAAAGGTCTTATAAGTAAATGCCAAAGCCATTTTGGGTAGAAAAGAAAAAGAGAGTGAGAAACGTGTTGAATGTGATATAAAAGTAGTTAATTTGGAAAGTAGTCAATGCTAACTCGTGTCAAGTGTAAATCCACCATAGACTCGGACAGTACGGCAACTTTACCTAGAAAAATAAAGCTGTACTCGAGTATTGAGACTAAGAATTGCGGAGTCCCATTCAGTACTGGTAATCATAGATATCTCAGATCTTTCCCAAGTACTTTCTAACTGAGAGTAATAAAGAACCCGAAACAAAGAATCAGAGTCGGTCACACCTGAAACTGTTCGATTGAGAAGAAAGCCTCTTTCACAACCAAAATCACGAGCAAAAATTCAATGGAAAAAAACACAAATTACTAATCCAAAAAATAAGCTTATTCCAGTCGGTATATCAAATGGTTCCAGGTCACGAAAACAATCTTGAAAATCCAAATTTTGAATGCTTTTAATTTAGTATACGATAGCTTTTAGTTCTAATCAAACCTATCTTCCTGTCTCAAGTACTGCTGGTAAAGACATCGCAAAAGGATTCCGTTTTAAACAATATTTTTGCGGTTTATAGTCTTTAACGTCCACTAAAGACAGGCGCCCGCCACTTCCAGCCCGTATCAAGTGTTTTTCTTTATTTGCATTTTTGTTGATCACCTTTTATACTTTTTCTTTATTTTTTCCACTAGTCCATTTTTCTCGTACCTTACGCTAACCGCAGCGCGTGTACGAACAACAATATACCATCCTTAAATTATATTCCCAGCACGCGCGCTTTTCTAATGTCATTTTTGTTTAATTCCTGGAGAGACAAATTAGTACTGTGAGCGTTCTCTACAATTTTACTCTCGAACTTTTAAGTCTTAAGAATTATTGAGCTTTATTAGCGTAAAATCCTAAATGTAGACAACTTTATTGCTATCATTTTATTAATTTATTGATAAATCCTTCACTTGGTCTGCATTACTTTGTAAAAAGGTTATCCAATTTTACTTTGGCTTTGAACCAATGATTGTAATTGTGTAGACTGATGTCTGTTGGAGGGCTGTCAGAATAAGATGGACTCTTTATAACCTAATTCAGTGTTGTTCGCTTTTATTAATTTCACTTTTAACAAAGAGAGACCATGAAACTCTCAGTCGGCAAGCAAGTCAAGCAAGTCGTGCGCTAATAATCAATGGACATATAATTTACTGACAATCAACTGTTTTTAATACCTCTGAATTAGTACTTTTACGACGCCTTTTGACAAAAATTGGTGGTCATTTACTTATGAAATTATATCTCAGCACAAAAAGTTAGAATTCTAAATATTGCGTGTTATCCTAGCACCACGATTTGAAAAAAAAAAACCAGTGTTTATTCACTGAAGCATTGCTAGCTTAGCACGAAAAGTCAGAAAACTATCATATTTATGCTGTAATGTGACAAAGAATTGTTGGTCTTTCTATGAAGAAGTTGATGTGTTAGCACAGAAAATCAGAAGTCCAATTTAATACCATTCACATATATAAGGAAGATGTCCCTATTGTTTCTAAGATTGTCCCCTGAACAAAGACGCCAAAATACTTATCTATATTATACTCGACTCCCTAGCACTGCATTGAAAAATTGCCTTGGACTAAAAACATGATTCTATGAGTCATTCTATGATGAAGGCTTTAGCAAAAGAAATTGGAATAGTATCACACGCGATATTTCAAAAGACTGTGGTCAGGTAATGGTTGTTGGCACCATATACCACTGAAGCTAACTGAGACATTCTTAGCATACTTTACAAAAATAGAAGGAAGTTCATGTATCGATAATGGAGGGATAAATTCCACCATTATAGGCTATCATTACACTAAATATATTATTTATTTATGGCACCATTCTTAACTTCTACCAGCCATTTGTGGTCTACATTTCAATGCTAGCGATATTGGTAAAGAAAGTATTCAGTAGTAGTTTCTATGTCCTACGTGTAGCTTAGGTGTCCTTCCACCTCAGCGCCTTTCCCCCTTTTTTGACCCTTTTTTCCTTTGTGCAAGTTAAGTACCATTGATGGTTACGCCCACTGAGAAGACGGTGCTGTTTATGACCTGTTATTGCTCAGGTAGTAAAAATGCTCTAACGATACTATGGAGTTGGAAATTTTAATCACAGGCGTTTTGATCAAGGCATGACCTACTTGCGGTTAAGATGCTGAGCAAGTGAAGAGTTTCAAATTTTAGCCTTTTTTTTTTTTTTTTTCTCAGCTTTTCAGAGGTTCATTCGTGACTGGACTTAGCAGAGGAAGTTTTGTATTAATTTCATTAGTAATTTGTCAAACGACTCTAAGTAAACTGACTTGAGTCAATTGTGGACTCATGCAAATTGAAGCACTTCATAAAACATATCCCACCAGTTATGAAAACATTATACGTTACTGACGATAAAACCAATCAGTAATTGCATTCATGAAATGCATTTTAGAAAACTGGTCCACTAATGCAATAGTCAACCTGAACTCTTAATTGATTGCCGCGCATTTCTTTGAGTCTGGTAATTGCCTGTGATAGAAAGTGAAAAACTCTAAATGATAGGAATAAAGGTTGGCAATTAGCCTCGGCTAGAGTGCATTAAAAACGATACTCATACATCTTTCATCTTCAAAAATAACCCTATAACATAATTGTTTTGGCGGAAGAAATTAGTAGACAAATTGAAAATATGGCTTCATTGTCGTAAGGCTGGTATATTAGCTAAGTGAAATACCAAGAGAAAGTGGGCTTTTCAAGTTGAAGGTTACTTTGGGCCTCTTCGGCTATTATTGTAAGGGGTTGTCGTGAGGTTCAGATAAATACCACAGTAAAGTGATATGGTTGAAATCCTAAATCATGGGTGATGATTTTCAAGTAAAATTCCGTGGTCAGTTTTGGTGGCTATTATACAGCAATTAGTTTTAGTAATTATTTTCTCAACAAAGTAGAAAAATCTACAGGAAAAGCGGAGATGATGATGATTAATACCAATTGTCAAAAGAGCACGAAGTGAGAACCACGCAGCTTAAAGAAAACCCAAAAAAATCTACGATGTAAAATACTGAAAAGTTTGGTTGGGCTCGCTAGACTCTGTAACCTTAAAATAAGACAGTTTTGTCTAATGTCCCCTCCTTTTAACGGTTATTTTACAATTTCGCAATATTCAATAGGAATAAAAATTGTAGAAGATTTATTTGGTGAACTATTCGAAAGTAGCTAGAAAGATACATTTTTCTGCGCGTGCGCATTACGGTATCGTGTGGTCTTGGATCTTCTTACGCACGTTGACTCACTACAATGATGTGACGTAACTGATAATAGCGAAAAGCGTTTGTTAACGTTTGTTAGCGCACTAAGCCCTATAAGTGCTGTCACAGTTCATCGGCTTTTGAGAGGCTGTTCGTCGATTCTCTGACAAGTAGAGGAGGCCAAACAGGAAGGGTGCCTTATTAGAAGCATTACTTAATGGCCGATTTAAGTACGTCAGGAAAGTCAGCTTACGGATTATGTGTCAAAGAACAGAATAGTGCATTTCAATAGGTATCAAGATTAATGTTATCCTAAGCTAGAGTTTGTTTTAAACGCCAAGGCGAATCGGGTATAAATGGTGTCAGAACTGAGTTATTTTGGTTTTGTTGACAAGTACCATCACTACCACCCTACTTATGAAGCGAGAGACGGGAAGAAACAGCCAATGATAACGGAATAAATCCCGCATCAATAACACTATAGCTAGGGGGCCTTATTGCACGATGAAAAAAGAGAGAGAAAAAAATAGAACATTCAATATTAGTGTTCTCGAACGAAGGCGAGCCGTAAGTCTAAATCTGTTTCATACCAAAAGAAAAAAAATCGCTCAGAAATAAATCAACAATTAGATTTGGCACCATTAGACGTCCAGTTAAAAATCCATTTCCATGCTCTCACAGAACACAGATAAAACCAACTACCTAATTGTAGTGGTGTACATAATAGTGATATTATTACTTTATTGACGGCTATCAACCAATAAAGATCTAGCGATAAAGATAAGTGTACATATTCTAATCATTCCATAATCTTAATACTGACCTTGCTTCCTATTAAGAGAAATACGACCATTTGAGATAAAGACCACATCAGACAAAAAAATACTCAAAAATAAAATCAAAGACTTACTTAGTTATATTGCCTTCATCGATTTTTTTCTGAGGATGCTCTCTTCGCTGGCTCGCTCTATTGCCATCTTTTCGTGGGGTTCCATTTTCTTTTTTTTCTTCTTTTTTTTTTTTTCCACTGTTTTTATTTCTTTTTTCATCATTGGACCTTAAATTGAGAAATTTTTAAAAATCATGTCTTTTCTAAAGAGTTTTTGATGCATCTATTTTCTTTACTAGGTTTTATTTTGAACCAAAAATTATGTCCCAAAATATTTGATAACGATGATAATAATTTATTTAGCGCCCTTCCTATAAGGATATAATTCAGAGATCCTACGACCTGTTTTTTGTCAGACTCTCTCTCTCTCTCTCTCTCTCTCTCTCTCTCTCTCTCTCTCTCTCTCTCTCTCTCTTTCTCTCTCTCTTTCTTCCGCCTTTTTTTACTCTCACCATCATTAAAAACTAACATTATGTTATTGACCCCTCCCGAACCAACACAAGTCATCACCTGGCCAACCAAACCGTAGCTAATCTACCCCTAACTAGCAGTCTTCCTAATATAATTCAGGGCTAATTTAAGATGTTTGTTTTAAAATGGTCTATGACTTAAGAATCGTGTAGTCTATTCTTTTAAGAGTTCTTTTATCAGAAAAGAAGAGGAGGATTGCGTAAATAGAATTAAGTAATTTCATGTGCTGATCAAAGAAACCGATAATTGTACATCCATTAGCCTATTTACCTTGCTTTCTTATTTATCCTTATTTTCATTTATTTATTTATTTATTTATTTGCTAATCCATTCGATAATCTTTTTTTTTTTTTCAAGCTGTTTCTAGTTTTTATTTTATAATTTTTATCTCCTTATCCTACATTTTTCTTTGTCTTTTTTCCTGCTTCTTAATTTCCTTTTTCTTTATTCTTTTTTATTCCTTTTTATTCTTTTTATTATTCTCATAAGTTTTTTCATTCTCCCTCTCGTTCTTTCCTTTCGTCTTTCTCTTTTCTTTTCTCCTTTCTTTCTTTCTTTCTTTCTTTTTCTTTCTTTCTTTTCCTTTGGCATCTCTTTTAAGCCATCTTTGATTGCACTTTCTCTATCTTACACACACACGCACGCATTACTAGGACTGGTGTAAGCTCGCTGTATGGATGTTTGTTGATCGAGTAGATCTGTTATCTGAAAACACTCGGAATCGACTCAATTTATCCGGACTGGAAAGAACAGCCTTCCGAGCTGCACAAACAATAGAAATGCACCTCACTCCAACAGAAATAAATTCACAGATAAGAAAAGACAAAGTCACGGAACTGAGCTCCGATAAACCTGTAAAATAAAGCAATTATAAAGTTGGAGTACTAAATGGTGTAAACCAATACATTTCATCGTTTGAGAACCTTTCTACGAGTTGAAATACCAAACGACAGATTGCTTGTCAATACCGAAATAGCTTAGTAAACAATRGGTTCTCGAACTAGCAGAATACAATAAAGAAAACACATGCACCAAGAAGAAAAAATTCAGAATATCGGACTGCACTTAAGAGTCAAATCATAAAACAAAGAATAGGTTTCTAGAATCGTGTAATGAAAGTTAGTTCAAATAAACTGTTTCTTGACAATGTCGAAAGTCAAGATTAGGAAGTCAATTTGATTGACGCTAAGGCTCAATACTATTAATAATATCACGAAATCTTAGTATTGAATGAATCGGTTCAAAATGGACAAATATTTATACATGTCCATCAAGATAATATCATGGTCAGTCTGATGGCAGTGAGGAGTCTTTTTCCTCCATTCAAATCATTTGATATGTTTGTGTATGTTTGTTTTATGCAGGCGCATGTTCCCGCCCTTGAGGGTGTCATTTACTGGGTTAGACCCCAATCAGACATACGCTGTCGTGCTGGATGTCGTGCCTTTGGACAACAAGCGTCATCGCTACTCCTATACCGACTCTGCTTGGTTCGTGGCGGGCGAAGCTGACCCCACCCCACCACGGAGAGTATACACACATCCTGAGTCCCCCTTCACTGGGGAGGAATTAGCAAGACAGGTGTTGTCGTTTGAGAGAGTAAAACTTACTAACAACCCTAAAGACTCGAACGGAAATGTAAGTAGTTAGTTGGCTTTTTGTCACATCTTAAAATACTGTTGTGTTTTGGGCGAGTAGCAAAGAAAAGAGAACTGAAGACAAGACCATCAACCAATCACGACAAAGGAAAATCTAGCTAATACATTTTCACACCTTTTCACACACCGAAAAGTTGAACAGAAAAAGAAGCCTTATGGGTTTAGGAATTGCTTGTTCTTCATTTCTTTTCTTCTTTTGAGATTTCAAATTTTGACTAAGCCGAACCCCTTGGGTCTACGGGGGACTCTCACCACGCGGCAAAATACTATGTCATGCTAGCTTTAAGAGAAGCGAGAATAGTCATTCTTCTGACACCAAATTGAATCACATCTTGGGAGGATTTGCCTTACGACAATTGGGGTTCCTGTGTCGGGATATTCGGATATATATAATCTAGTTAGCGAAGATCTTAGAGACGCTTGTACATCTGTCAATTGAACTGATAGCTAAAAAGGCCATTTCTGAATCACAAAGGAAAGTTTAATAACACCTGAAAGGCCAATTTAATCTTCTTAAACATGATATGGTTTTGGTTCAATCCACTACGAAACCTTCCACACTTTGTGGTTTTACTTGTATAGAAATCTGACACTTTTCCTTTCATCGCATTCTCAAAACAGGTGTTTTTGTTCTTTTTTCTTGAAAAATATTTCGATAGAAATTTTTCATTTTTAAAAATGGGCGTAAAATGCAATAAAAACTGTCATTATTTTGGGACATTAATTCTTGTTGCTATGTCTGGTTTGGGTTGTTAAAAGCCGCGGTAGAGATGCTTTTAGTTGCATAGTGAGCAAGAAAGGGGAGGGAATGTAACACGATCTGCGAACATCTTACACGTGCGACAGGGTTTTAAAGCTATTTTATCCTCTAAAAAGGTCCTAATATTCAAACGGAAAAGCCTATAACTCGTTAGACAAACTAAAGTGTTAACAAACATCATGTTCTGATGATATCTCCAAGCATTAGACGGAGCTGTAAAACTTTTAATAGCCCATCATAAATCTTGAATACTAACTACTTTGATCTCAGCACATCCCTCTTGCCAAAGCTGAAAGGATTTGGGTTAGAAATCAGCCATTGAATGGCAAAAACGCCATTGATTTTCATTCAAATTTGTTCCGTGACTTTGTTATCATAGATGTTAGTTTGCGTCTCGTATGGTTCTGATTTAATTACTACACTATTTGTTTTTGGACTAGCAGTAGGAAGGCAAAAGTCTTCCATAAAGCAATCAATACAGATTACTGTCAAGGCTTTCGCGCCACGTTAGATTTTCCCGCCATTTGTGTACAAACCCAGCTATCATTTCTGTCGCGTCCGCCAAACTCACCTTGGAAACCTCACGCAAAGTTAAAAGGAAACAAAAAACAATAAAAAGCCAAAAAAGTGTTGCCAGTTTATTGGGCAATAAATATTGTAAACCGTGTCATCCAAGTAAAGTGTTTCGATAGAGTTTTTGTCTATAAAATATGCTATGACAAATTAGTATCGCTTCTCAAATCCATCAACCAATACTGAATAAAACGAACAAATAAAACAAAACAAACCCCCACAAATATGTAAATGTGTCAGATACGTTTTTCATAAAAAGGTTATCTGCAATTTCCTTTTCGGGTATGTTTAGGGATGCTTAGAAGAAAAGGACCTTGGCAAAAGCATTGCCCATTATTGAGGGCGAAAGATTCTTATGTATTTATTTAATTAGCCGGCTCTTAAAACCGTCAAAATCGTTCTGTCAAACAGGTACCTAAAGCCTTTGAACCACGGCTTAGCTTAGCTTACATATATTAGATATATATGTATATATGTCACTGGCGCTACCTATATAATATACCCATTTGATCATTTCTCTCTAAGGTGTAAGAAAAGAAAAAGTCAGCATAAATCACATAGAAATCAACCCAGTTTTATTCAAGATTTCCATCAATATTTTAGTAGCTAAGGCTGGTTCTTTAAGACATTTCTAGATCTATCCAAGTCAAAGAATTTATCAAACGTAGCCTAAGGACTAAGAATCGGTGTAATTTTTTATTTTTATTCTTAATAACGGAAGTTTGAATCGACGTATATTCAATCTTTGTTGTGGAATAAAAATGCGTTGTGTTAAAAAAATGAAAAATAAAAATGCGAGTTTTTACGGTAAAAAGGACGATGAAATTTGAAAACTCCAAAATCACATCTTTCTGAGCCTAAAATCAGGTGGTACGAAGCGATTGTGTCTGTAAAAAATGCTCTAATTGAAAGATATCAGTGAAAGAAAATAGATTTGCTTCTAGAACATAAAGCCATTGTTCGATAAAACAACGAGTTCCACTATACAAGTATCAACTTTCAGGAAAAACCCATTTAGTGCTACATTCAGAGAAAATCATTTAAAGCAGTTTTGATTAAAATGCTTTTTCTTCACAATTCGAGCTTAATTTTAACGACCATCATTTACTTCCAGTTTAAATTTCTCTTTTTCAGCTTGTGTGGGCTTTTTCAATACTGGAGATTTCCAGTCCTCACGCAAGAGAAAGACAGTGAACAGATTGTTAGCACGGTTTCGAGCATATTTTGTTCAAAGTATGACAACCAAAGCGAATCGGTTTTAAGTCTGTTTTGATTCAAATACTTTGATAAGTTGTTCGTCGTATTTTCAATCAGGCAGGCATTTTCTCGATATTACTGAATTGATTCATGTTTTTTTATACTCCATCGGCGGTTCTACCAAGACCACATATATAGAATACATGTTTCAGTGTTTTTTTGACGTATCTTGAACTAATCAAGACTGAAGCATCTGATAAGAAGTACCTTTGGAAGTACCAATGCCGTAACAACAATGTTTAAAGCGCTTATTATAGCAATCTGTATACGAAACGTCCTTATCTTTGTTCGTTCCTTGCTTTTTTATCTACAGTTTTCTTTGTCGTTAAATTTCTGTTCCTTTCGTTCTTCACTTTTTGCTTTTTTTATCTTGTCTACAATATCTACATCATCTACATCAAAGTTTCCTCTTTAATGCTCTCTTTTCTCGGCTTTTTAAAACTGATATTACCTATTTATTTATAATCTGGGAAAACTTCAATAGATTCCGAGTTTTATCATGTTTCCTTAGAGATAAATAAGGAAAAACAGAAGCGACAAAGTTAGAAAACGTTCAACATTACATTTCAGTAACAAAACATTCAAAAGCAACATTATTCTTTGAACAGGAAGATTTCAAAATAACTGCGCGAAAAAAATGAATTAGTTTTAAAAATATAAATACATTTTCAGTCGAGTCAGCGCAGTGTTTCTCAGGCCGACAGGAGGGGTTTTCGTAAACTGATCATGAATTTCTTTATTCTGCTTTGTTTTGCTCTGCTCTGCTTTGCTCTCTGTTCTGACTCACGTTTCTTATACTATCCTTTCTTTCCTTTCCTTTCTTTTCCTTTCCTTTCCTTTCCTTTCCTTTCCATTTCATTCTGCTCTGTTTGGCACCGCTTTACTTTGTTTTCTCTCTACTTTTGGTATTTTTTACAATCTCTTCGCTGTTTTTTCTTTATTCGTGTTATGGTGCATACCAGCGTGTTATGGTGCATGCCAGGTCCCGATGAACGCATTTCCTCAGGCTATTCAAAGTTTTCCTCAGTAAGAGTGAGTTTAGATGTCAGCCGTAAATCTTAAGTGCCAAGACACTTTGCGCAAAGAAAGTTCGTTAGCTACCATAGCTCCTAGAACCAAGTTCCGCAATATGAAACGTCAGTCATTTAGAACATTGATGTCCAAGAAAATTAGACAACTAATTTGTATTTGTCTGGGTCGTTGAATGAATCTTGGTGATATACATAGACGACTAAACGTGGCTAAAAAGAAAACAGGCGAACGAGCATGTCCATAAGTTCATCATTTAATTGATGAATAATTAAATGAATCGAACTGAAGGAAAGAATTTGAAAAAAAGAATGGATGGATGGATGAATAGATGAATAAGAATAAATACACAAAACAAAAAATGAAGAGAAAGGTGAAAGAAAGAATGCATGGATGAACAAATAAATACATGGATGAATAAATGAATAAGAATAAATAAACAAA